CAAACAAAAGTGGAACCAACGGCCGTTTCATGAGTGTACAGTTTAATACACTGAAACAGGTTTAGAAGAATTAGTTACTCAATTCACACAGTTTATTGACCTGAGATTAAATGACAGAAGTCAGAGCAGGGCATTGTAACTCGTTGTTGAAACCGAGTTGCCGTCCCTTCGATCTGAAAATGTTAGGCAATCATTCGACATATATTTTAGCCTAACATAAATAAGTTTTATAAATGACCAAAATGACCAAAATGGGCATTTTGCCTTTTGGGAAAGACACAGCTAGTGTCGAAACATCATTCCCTCTAACTTTTTTAATTTATATGATTTATGTCAATCCACTCAGCAGTTTGCAGCATTTTATTCATTTTCATTTTTCCCCTTCAAGTCAATACAAGCCTACCGGTGTGTCACGTGTGCACCAACTTTCGCAATAATCGAAACCTCGATGTCGTGTGGGGACATCTTCAGATGTGCAACCGTGCATCAACAATGACCAAGATCAAAAGCACACGCAATCAAACAAAAGCCAAAACATAACAGGCAAATCGCCTTGAATTTCAATAATATTTGGGGAGTGCGCCCGACACACCCTAGCCCCATTGTCAGCGTGTTTATGGCTTCACACCTGTGCCGTACCTGCGGCACGTTCTGCCCCCCAAAGTCAAGGGCCCCCAAAACCCACTCCGCACCACCGCCTACGCTCGCGTGTCACTTCACAAAGGATCCCATCTTGCATTGAACAAATTATTGACTATCAATTCATTAACTTTGAAAATCGTAAACTAAACAGGCCGCAAACTGCCTACGCAGATCAAATCACGATACGGTGACGTACAGAGTCAATTTCTCTTTGAGAGTTTTTTGAGTTTTATGGCCCTTGTACTCGAGTGTTGGTAGAAATAAGGCTCCCAGCTCTGAACCGGTCTTTAAACTTGTATTTCTGAGAACTTCAGGATGTCATTATTGGACCCGAAACTTGCTCTATTGTGCAATGGAGTGGTAGGATTACTATCAGGATGATGTAGGGAAAAATCACCAAAAATGAATTGGTTATCGCCCCACCTCCCCCCACCACAAAAAAGATAGAGAAAAACAAACAAATAGACAGTGAAAATGAAGCTTTAATTTCATGAATGAATAAATGAGCTTAAATTTATTTTGAACAACTTGAACAATTTCCCTTATATTTAGAAGTGAGGGTATTTATTATTAATGTCTATGGCGTGGGTCTACATCCGTTTGCCCTCTGTTGTGCACCGGCGAAGTGTTGGATGGTGTCTGCTGCCCTCAAGGTAATGCGCAAAGCAGATAGCACACTTGACCGTCGGGAGCCGTCATACAATACAAGAATATTGCCAGATTTTATTCTTAACATGTTAGTTAGTTTTCAGATCAAATTACAAATCCTACTCTAAAATTTGATAGATACCGGTATTGAAATTTTACTTTGTTATTTCGACATTTATATAAATGCATTACGATACATTCGTTCCGAAATCGGATAAAGCGGTGAAGTTTTGTGAGGTTTTGTTCCGTGCTAAACACACAGAAGCTAGTAAGTCCATTCAATCTTGTTATGAACTGAAATCTCCTTCAATAGGCGACAGCCTTTTGCCCAACAAACTGCCATTTTTGTGACAAAAGGTAGTGCAGGTGTACCGGGACCTTTTTTTTTTTTTTTTTTTTTTTTGCACTTTGTAACAAAAAGGTAATAATAACAATAACCTTTGTATGCAAATTTTCGTGTTTTTTTTCTATGATATTTTGTCGTGTTTGTACTTTCTTCCTGCATGACCCTCTATTTTGTTAACAAAGGGCCCACAGAGCAGCTCTTGTTTGTGAGATAAAGTTAAAGGGAAAATACAACATTTGCAAACATCAAAAAATAAAACTACCAAATCATTTTGAAATACCTTGCTGGACTGTTAGTGAATGACAGTGTAAAGCATCCTGTAAAATCATGGCACCTGGTATACTGTCATTTTCAAGAAAAGTGGTATTTTTGTATCAATTTCCAACGCTGATCGGCCGATCAGCGTTGGAAACAACTGGCTTTTTTTCAAATACTGGCCCCAATTGACCATCGCACTTGTTTGCAATCGATTACAAACCTATGAACGGAACGGGTACGAGCCAGCTAGACTGGTTCCCTGACCTTACAATTCCCCAATGTATGTAAACTGCTCTGTTTCTTCTTATATGGAGTCAGGGAACCAGACTACAGGAAAATGATCGTTTTTCTTGGTTTTTATAGCATTTTCGAACCCAAAACCTCAAAAAAGTCAGTGTAACTATATTTGCTATATATTTCCAACCCCCCCCCCAATTCCATCCATTTCTGAAAATTACAGCAAAAGCAAATGATGTATATTCCCTTTAAACGGTGTAAGTTCTCACCAAAATCTAGACCGAAAAAAAATCAACTTGTCCACAACGGCCGAGCAACATACCGCCCTCTATTGACAAAAAATGGAATTTTAGGACCGCCATTTTCGAAAGCGACAAGTTCCGACTTGTTTTCGTTTGCACGGTTTGGTTTTTATAATGAACGATAACAATGGAATTTTTGCCAAGACGGAAATCCTCGACCGGCTTATCTTTGAAGGTAAAAATTGAACCAATTTCTAAGTAATTATACATATGGAACGGGTGGTGCAAAGGGAATATGAAATGGTGGGAGTAATTACACTACAGAGATTGCAGAATCCTGCATTCAATTTCATAGCGATCATGGCGATCGAGATCGTGTAGTAGGGCCCCTGTATTGTTTTGAACAAATTAGAGTTAAAAATGTTTCTTAATTTAAAATCTTATTGCTCAAAAATCACCTTTACAATCAAAAGCAGACTTTTCTCAATTCCAATGACACCCCTTTTGCAATTTTGAACAGACTTCGATTTTCCTGCGCGGTTTGTGCTTTGCGATTCAACGCGCCATGCGTGCTGACGGTACATTGCGCAGTGTTTCGCGAATACAGGTCAACTCGTACGCGAACCAACTCGTACGCGACCAACTCGTACGCGGGTCAATTCGTACGCGAACCGACTCGTACGCGGACCGACTCGTACGCGGACCGACTCGTACGCGGACCAACTCGTACGCGGACCAACTCGTACGCGTGAGTTTAGACGATTGGTTTAGCTCCCATGGACAGATGAAATTAGGTTCGGTACGGTAGGTCGGCATAATTTTACCTTTTCTGAAAGGTTGAGATTTTCAAATTAAATGTAGTTGATTTTTGAATCCGCCAGTGCTACTTACATTCGCGATTTTTTAGAGAAGAATTCTGCGTTTGTTTTTTTACAAGTTCGCTTGATTGATTGGGAAGTTGTCTTCGCGATAACCAGTATGATTGGTTCCCGCCGCACCGCGCACTGTATAAACAGGCATGCAACTTTTCCTCGGATCAGCTGATTTCCTCTTTTTTTACTTCCCATGTGTGCCATTGAAAATAGAAAAACACTGTACAAAGTCTGGGAAAAATTTGAATTTCCTCTTTTTTTGTGATTTCCCAGTTGCATGCCTGTATAAAGAATCGCTGAAACCTGTGTATGCCGCGGTACAATTGCTGGTTGGTTAGACAAGTAAAATGACAAGAAAACACTGATATTTGCGAGGTCTATTGTATAAAAAGGAGCTACTATAAAAAAAAAGGAATATAGCATCACGCATGCTTATACAGTTGTACGGACAGTGTCCGCCAGTTTTTTGCTTGGGTCAGATAGTTTTTTAGTCCTAATTATTATATATCCAAATAATATTTTGTAAAAAAAAGAAAAAATGGGGAGTTGATTTTTATTTTTTGTTAAAATCAGAATTTTATATAATTTCACCGGAAATGCGAGGTTTCTTGGGTCAAATGCGATTTTCTTGGGTCAGAAAATTAATTTTTTGCTTGGGTCCGATTATTTTTTTAGTCCTAATTATTATGTATCCAAATTATATTTTGTAAATTAAAACAAGTGATGAGCTTGGCCTCGGTGTGGAGCAGCGGGATAAGCTTGTAGAGCTGTAAACCAGCTCTACCAGCTTTACAGTTGAGTCTGCGATGCCAGCCCTCGACATCGTTGTTGGTCCGGATGCTGTGCTGGAAGATGGACCAGTTGATTGTGGTTGTGGCTAAGTTTTTCTGAGGATTTCTCGTCAGTCGCAGTTTAATTTATTTGACAACATGAAGTATCAAGCATGTCACACTACCCGTCACACTATTCCCAAATTCTTCCCAACCATGCCAACCCAATCCTCGAAACCACTCCTAAAACGGCCCGCGTACGAGTTGGTTCGCGTACGAGTTGGCTCGCGTACGAGTTGGCACGCGTACGAGTTGGTTCGCATACGAGTTGTCTCGCGTACGAGTTGACCAATCCGCGTACGAGTTGACTCGCGTACGAGTTGGTTCGCGTACGAGTTGACCTGTTTCCGTGTTTCGCCATCTATATTTTCGGGTTGTGTGTTGTCGCCGCGCTGTCATCGTCATTTTACCCCCAAATTTCCCTCAAAAAATCAAAACCCTGTCCTCTATCTATGACATTTACTTCTCTATAACTAGAACAGAAGGCTTCTCTCCATCAGCCTTCTAGCATGGTGATTTTTCAGGGGTCATAACGCTGTGGCTTTTGGAAATGCCCTTTGATAGACAAAATACCTTTGTCTGAAATTCCACTTTCTGAAACACAAATCCACCAAAAAAGTTGAGCTGGTGAACTGTAACTCTGAAATGTTTTAGAACGATTGACATTTGGATCATGGGAAAAATTTTTGGGTGGAAAATCTGAGTTTTTACCCACCAACGTCGCCTTGCCGATCCGACGAATACAGCGGTCATGTTCATGTGTGTTTACTTACGTTGCGCGTGCGCTGATCTTCACGTGACGTCAGCAGGTCAACTCTACATTCGGCTCGACTATTTGGGATGGAGGGGAGATTTTATGCTTTGCAAATGTTGTATATTCCCTTTAATGTTTATCTGACCTGAATTTTGTGTGTGGGTGTCTCAGAAAAAGCACCGTGGAATACGTTTCTCCATGGATTCCCCCACTGTGAGCCCAGCAGGCTGCAGCTCTGCAGATGAAGGAATGATCATAGACAGTGACAATGAGAACGATGTACCAGAAACAGGACCATCGGATTACAAAGTACTCAAAGGTAAAATCCATCAAATCCCTCCCAAAATCCTTCAAAATCTATGTGGAGGTTTGAAGGATTTTGAAGGATTGAGGATCAATATAGGAGGAACTTATGAGGAATCTAACTTCTATGGCAATGATGTACCAGAAACAGGGCCAACAGATGCAGTATAACAAAATGCTCACAGGTAAATCCATCAAATCCCTCCAAACATCCTTTAAAATATATCGGGAGGTTTGAAGGATTTTGAATGATTGAGGCATTTGTGAGGAATTTATGAGGAATCCTATTGGAAAGATGTACCAGATTCAGGACCAACAGATAACAAAGTACTTCAATGTAAATCCATCAAATCCCTCTCAAAATCATTCAAAATCCATCGGGAGGTTTGAGGAATTTTGTAGGATTGTGGAAAGCTACGGTAAAGCCTAGCAACAGTGGGAATGATGTATCAGATAATGGACCAACATATAACAAAGTGCTCAGAGGTAAACCCATCAAATCCCTCCCATAATCCTTCAAAATCTATCTGGAGGTTGGCTATATTTTGAAGGATTGAGGAAGCTGCGGTAAAGCCTGGCTACAGTGGAAATGATGTACCAGAAACAGGACCATCAGATAATAAAGTACTCAAAGGTAAATCCATGAATTATTGAATTCCCTCCTAAAATTCTTCAAAATCTATCGGGTGGTTTGCAGGATCTTGTAGAATTGAGGGAGTTGCGGTAAAGTCTAGTTACTATGGGAATGAAGTACATGTATCAGACACGGGACCAACAGATAACAAAGTACTCCAAGGTAAATTCCTTTCAATAACAACCTAGATCCTTTAAAATCCATTTATTGGTTTGGAGGATTTTGAGGGATTGAGGCAGTTGCGGTTCATCCTACCTACTGTGTTAATTATTTACTCAAAACACAACTGCCACAAGTCAAAAAAGGCAACTGAAATGCCTCATCATGAAAAACACGTGGGAACATTGGGAAATTTCCGGAAATGCACCCGCTGAATTTAGGAGAAAAAACATTTGCTCAAAGTGAAGACAAGGCTGGTCCCAAACATCTTGTAAAAATTATTCCGCCAGAAATGGTTTGAAAGAAAACAATCATTAGAAGAAAAAAAAAATCGCTGAAGGTAGTTTAAAAGTGTGGAAGCCAAACAGTATTTCTGGGCTAGGAAAGCATTTAACTTAAAGTATTTAAAGTCATTGAAGTATTTCTGTGCTTGTCATACTTAGATGTTGTGGCGTATGTTGAAGTCCGCACCAAAATGGAGAATCGGTCCAACAGTGTGTGCAAACAGCTGGAGCGTCTGGGTGCTGTGGTGAGTTGGTCTCTGTCTTTGCTTATACATTGTGTGTCAGTAATTATGATGACAGCATGAGAAAACTAAACTTGCAATACTTCTTAGCTGCATCAACGGATGTCTTGTAAGTTGTAGGTGTCCTCATCTGTTGACTAGACGTGTTAACCATTGTCAGTTAGACAAGAGGTATAGCTAACTGTAGTTGACAAGCTCCAAGAATTACTTTAAAGAGTTTTAAAATCTGGTTTGCATACTTGTGGAAAAACATCGCGGGAAAAATTACCTCTCAAAGGATCTGGTAATCCAATTAGGCCAAGTAAAAAAAAACATGTTTCGTCCGGGATTTTTCAAAGAAAGGAAAGAGGCGGCCCTTTTTGTTTTCAAGATGGCAGATTTTCCAAGATGGTGGATGGATTCTTCCATTTTCTCGACTCTTTTGCTGACACTTTTGTGTCCAAAGGAGCCGTCACGCTTTCTACTAGATTTTGAACATGCATACGTAGGCAGCTACAATTTCTCGTGAAAATGAATAAAAAGACAAAATATGTTGGAAATATGTGATAAAAAACAAAAAAGGAACCGGGCGAAAAAAAGGAAGCAGGGGTCGAGACACTGGTATATTTTTTTACTTGGCCTTAAACTTGCGTAGATAGCATCGTTGGCAAGTTCACAATTTGCATGATTTGGATGTGTTCTTTTTATGCTAAGGTAGTGAAGAAGTTTACCAATGACGAGCCGGTCACTCACGTCGTCTGGAAGGACGGTAAGAAAAGCACCAAGGATAAGGCCATCAAACGAGGGATCCATCTGGTGTCAGTACTCTGGGTGGATAGGTAGGTGCTACAGATAGGTGCTACAGAGGATGCATTTACCTTAACCACCCCAACCCTTCAAAATCCAACTGCATGTGTTTTGTTGGAATCTGTTGGAGTGAGGACTGCACTAGTAAACTGATTATGCTTTACATGGGGTCAGGGATACCACCATAATCAGAGTCCAACAGTTTGGGTATTTCCCATGTTTTGTTGGAATTTGTTGGAAGTGAGCACTGCACTAGTAAAATGTTATGCTTTACATGTACATGGGGTCAGGCATATACCACCATAATCAGAGTCCAACAGTTTGGGTATTTCCCACGTTTTGTTGGAATTTGTTGGAAGTGAGCACTGCACTAGTAAAATGTTATGCTTTACATGTACATGGGGTCAGGCATATACCACCATAATCAGAGTCCAACAGTTTGGGTATTTCTCATGTTTTGTTGGAATTTGTTGGAAGTGAGTACTGCACGAGTACAATTTTATGCTTTACATGGGGTCAGGCATACCACCATAATCAGAGTCCAACAGTTTGGGTGTTGAGTTTGCCATATGGTGTTGGATTTTGCAAGAGTGAGGAAGGTTCCTAGTAAATCACCGATGGGGTTAGGGCTAAGCCCTTAAAATTTCTTTTGCAATGAGATAAATGGTTTGTAAGAGAGACTGTTGTAAAGAAAATGTCTGTACTTATTATTTTAGTTGAGAAAAGAAATTGACTGTTGCAAGATTTGTGCTTGCAACCTCACTTTATGTGATTATTTGTAATAGAAAGCCATTTCCTCCCTGAGCGATCACTGTTTGCTATTTCCCAGTGAGCTAGCATCATGACTTTGGGCGTGATTTCTGGCTACATGGCATGTGCGGGTCTATGGCTTCTAACTAGTGCCCCGTGAATAAAGATAGTGACAAATTGGGGAACCGCCAACATAGGGCTGGATATCTCAGTTGGTAGAGCACCCGAACGGTAATCCGGTGGTCGCAGGTTCAACCCTGCTCCAGTCAATTCCTTTGTTCAACATTGTAATTGTTTTGGTTGCTGTAAGGATTCTATATAAGAGGGCCTGACTTTGCCTTTGAGAGCGACGATAATTAAAACTGCATTGAGGATTAAGGTTAAAGACCAAAATGACCGAGTTAATTTATTCCATGTACATGTAGTAGCACTGCTTCACTGTGAATCTCCCTGTAAAAAAAAGTCTGCTTTTCCCCATCTTTTTTATCCGTTTTTCCTTTATATTTTCTCTTATGACTCCAGTTGTAAGCAAAACCAGCGGCGTGCTGAAGAATCTTTATTCCCTGTTACCGACTGTAATGAGGATACAGCAATTGTTATCCCAAGGGTAAAAGTATGTTTAATTTCGTCGAATTGCATTTTGAAATAGCGAAATGTTTGAAGGCCCTTTGTGCCATGATAATCTGGCAATGTTAAAATCTTCCTTGCGTCATCTAAGTTTCTGAAATCTTATAGCATTCAGTTTGGAAAATATTTGGCTGGCAATAAACAACCATGCAATCACAAGTGTTTACCAGTCCAAAACATTTCTTACAGGACTGTTTTTCATGAACTGGATTGATTAAATTTTTAGTCCAAAATGGGGAGTTGATTTCCTCATTTTTAAAAGAAGAAAAAATGATACACTAATTGACATCATCAACAAAGAAAGTCGCACGTTTTACATATTTGTCCAGTTTGAAACAATCTGTTTTGATGGTGAACCACTGTTTTGCAAAAGTCTCTTGCTTTTGTCAGAAACCATTTAAGGATGCGTAGGATCATTTGTTTGTTTGTGCTTTTTCCTCGTTAGAAGCTACAAAATTGCTCAAATTCTTAAGTGTGCATAACAACCAACCGGTTGAAGTTTCAGCTGAGTGGCTGCAACACATACAATAAAACACGTACAATTTTGTGGGTCTCGTAACTGGAATCCGTTGCTAACTTCTGTAAAACCGTCTGAAACGATACCATTTCAGGTGGAATAATTTCAAAGGGTATTTGGTAGCAACCCTATCTCCACTTTGAGCAAGGTTTTTCTCATTAAATCAGTACTTCCATTTTCAGATAATTACCCAAATTCCTGCGTGCCTTAAACAAATAAATCCAACTAGCCAGGGGCCACGCCGTAAGTTACCGGTATTTTTTTCCTCTCATCCGCCCATCAGCGCATGAAATCCATGCAGCCCAAGTCTTTTGAGGAGGACCTTGAGAGCAGCACAGAGCGAATGGTGAGGAAACGAAAGAAGAAAGAGACGGTCCAGCCTTCAAGACTCTACCTCAACTCACCTGGTAAGTATATGATCTGTTGGTAATTGAGCGCACAACGTTATGACGAATTAATTGGGTGTACCAAGCGTGTACATCAGCTAAGCCAAGGTCCCCCCTCCGAGTAATTCTTCACCTTTAAAGCTACAGTCCATCATTTTTGTAATTTGTGCATTTTGTTCGTTTGAAGCAACAAAAGTGCTCAAAATCTAATGAAGGATACTGAACAACTAACCTGATGAAGTTTCAGCTAAGCTTCAGCTGTACATTCCGAGAAAAACAGCATTCTAAGATCTCAATTTCAAATCAAAAGTTACTGAATCATGTTTTGAATTGTTTTGAATTGCAGATATACGCGACGTAGCGCACTGATCCGACGAATTATAACAACCGCGTGTGCGTGTGCGTCGTTCCAATACTTGTGCGCGCTGCGCTGAATAACAAAACGAACTACTAATTTAAATTTTCCTACGGTGCTTCTTAAGAATCACCGTTGGAAATGCCTTCTTTCGTTAATTACTTCAAAATGACAGCTTCCCAGAAAGAATAATTTCACAGGGAGTTTAGTTCCCTTACTATCTTTCAACCAAGTTTGTTTTTCAACAATAATTACGCCAGTTACTTTTCGGATGGCTGCAAATGATGGACTTTAGCTTTAAACAAACTTTGATTCTTTGAAAAGTGGCATTCCCCCTACTATTTTCGGGTTTCAACCCGAAAAATAAAGATTCCTTTCCCAAATTGCTGTTTCTTTAGCAATACAAAATTTAATCACTTTTGAATGAGATTTCGACCCCCAAAAAATCAGCCCACTGTTAGTTAAGGCCAAAAAAAAAAATATTCGGTCTCTGGTCAGACCAAAGTTCCGGAATTGACGCGGCCACGCGGCTTTTTTTTTTTCGCTTTTTTTTTTCTTCTTCCAGCTTGGATTGTACAGACAAGGTGGGGTACTATTTTGCTTTTTTGGTGTCCTCGTGTACATTGGTGTCCTCCATAATTTGCCTTGGTGCTTTCGATCATTTGCCTTGGTGCAATTTCCCATTCCTTGGTGCTCTTTGGTAAAAAAAATTGAGGAGGTGCGGAAATAGAGGGCGCTGTTGGAGCTACCGCAGAACATTTTTTGGGAAAAAAAGATCGACGCACATGATTAAAATCGATGCGCGCGCTGACCAGAGACCGACTTATTATTTTTTTTGCCTAATACTGAATATTTACTTTTACAAATTTTGAAATACATGCGGACCGACAACAAATCCATTTTTGCAGGATAGGCTGGTTCCTGCCCCACAATCAGTAGCACTGATGTACAGATCGGGAGCCAGTCTGCTTGCAAAGTGGATCTGTTTGTGGCCCCAGATAAATCCTTTTTTATCCAAGACTGGTTGCAGACATCCAAAACCTTTTTTTTTAAAATAGCAAACATTTTGGTTGGAATAAAACTAACAAGTTGAAAATGTTTCAAGAGGGAAAAGTTGACTTTGTTGAAGAGCATGAGGAACACAACTTAACTCAAAAGTAAATTTGATTTTTTGAACCAAATATCCTTTTTTTTCCTACCCAGTTGCAGTAATGAACCCTTTAGTCTATGCTGCAGAAACACAGGATCCATTCACTCCAGTAAGTAAAGATAAGATCCTTAAAAGCAAATTTCAGTGTGCCATAGACTCTGTGTACACACAGTTGATGGGGCTTCTTGACCAATATGAGAGCTAGTGGGAGGGACTAACAACATGCATGTACTGGTTCGTGCTTGTATAGCACTAAGTATGCCTGACTTATTTAAATTCTAAATCGGCACGAACCGGTTACATCGTCACGTGAGTGTCAGGTGTCATTGGCAATGCATTCAAGCATCCTTGAAACTGCGCAGTAGTTTAGTATCACCTGGATAAGCACAAGTAACCCTTTGTGTATTCATTGTTATGATACTAAAAAACACACCGAACACCCTGTAATATATCCGTAGCACATAAGCTCTATTGCATTTGAAATTACTTTTTTTAAAGTTGAACAGGGAAATTGACCGGAGCAGAGTTTGAACCCGCAACCTCCGGATTACCGTTCCAGTGCTCTTCCAACTGAGCTATCCAGCCGTATGTTGGTGGCGTCCCCATTTTTGTCAATGTCTTTGTTCAAGGGGCGCTAACCAGAAGCCATAAACCCGTATATATGTGCCATATAGCCAGGAATCACTCCCAAAGTCATGATGCTAGTAACATTAGCAATGCTGCAAACCTAGTAATAAATGTAATAGTGAACGAGGAACACTTACAGATTTTTATATCAAAATAACAAAGAATGTCCTCAGAGGTATCTGCAACATGTATTGCTTCAGAAATAAGTTACAATTTCCTTTTTTTCATTCAAGCTCAAAAATCAATGCAAACACAATACTTTCTATTTGAGCATTTTATTTTCTAATTGAGCATTATAAAATGTATTCTTTTAATTAGGTCGGAACGCCTGTTCCTGGTCAGGGCGGTACGCCATCTCTTATCCCTGATACACCGGCCAGTATGAGAGCTTGTCTAGATGCACTCAGTAGAGTCAGGAATAGCGCCAACACGCCAACATCAGGTGAGTAGTACATTATAGACATAGAGTAGTACGTCTCTTATCCCAGATACACCGGCCAGTATGAGAGCTTGTCTAGATGCACTCAGTAGAGTCAGGAATAGCGCCAACACACCAACATCAGGTGAGTAGTACATTACAGACATCGAGTAGTACGTCTCTTATCCCTGATACACCGGCCAGTATGAGAGCTTGTCTAGATGCACTCAGTAGAGTCAGGAATAGCGCCAACACACCAACATCAGGTGAGTAGTACATTATAGACATAGAGTAGTACGTCTCTTATCCCTGATACACCGGCCAGTATGAGAGCTTGTCTAGATGCACTCAGTAGAGTCAGGAATAGCGCCAACACACCAACATCAGGTGAGTAGTACATTACAGACATCAAGTAGTACGTCTCTTATCCCTGATACACCGGCCAGTATGAGAGCTTGTCTAGATGCACTCAGCAGAGTCAGGAATAGCGCCAACACACCAACATCAGGTGAGTAGTACATTACAGACATCGAGTAGTACGTCTCTTATCCCTGATACACCGGCCAGTATGAGAGCTTGTCTAGATGCACTCAGCAGAGTCAGGAATAGCGCCAACACACCAACATCAGGTGAGTAGTACATTACAGACATCGAGTAGTACGTCTCTTATCCCTGATACACCAGCCAGTATGAGAGCTTGTCTAGATGCACTCAGTATAGTCAGGAATAGCGTCAACACGCCAACATCAGGTGAGTAGTACATTATAGACATAGAGTAGTACGTCTCTTATCCCTGATACACCGGCCAGTATGAGAGCTTGTCTAGATGCACTCAGTAGAGTCAGGAATAGCGTCAACACGCCAACATCAGGTGAGTAGTACATTATAGACATAGAGTAGTACGTCTCTTATCCCAGATACACCGGCCAGTATGAGAGCTTGTCTGAATGCACTCAGTAGAGTCAGGAATAGCGCCAACACACCAACATCAGGTGAGTAGTACATTATAGACATAGAGTAGTACGTCTCTTATCCCTGATACACCGGCCAGTATGAGAGCTTGTCTAGATGCACTCAGTAGAGTCAGGAATAGCGTCAACACGCCAACATCAGGTGAGTAGTACATTATAGACATAGAGTAGTACGTCTCTTATCCCAGATACACCGGCCAGTATGAGAGCTTGTCTGAATGCACTCAGTAGAGTCAGGAATAGCGTCAACACGCCACCATCAGGTGAGTAGTACATTATAGACAGAGAGTAGTACGTCTCTTATCCCTGATACACCGGCCAGTATGAGAGCTTGTCTAGATGCACTCAGTAGAGTCAGGAATAGCGCCAACACACCAACATCAGGTGAGTAGTACATTATAGACATCGAGTAGTACGTCTCTTATCCCTGATACACCATATGAGAGCTTGTCTAGATGCACTCAGTAGATTAATATACCTAACAAGTGCGAGTGCACTTGTTTAACTTAACGCTCTGGCCCTGTTTAACTCAAGCGACGCTGACGTTGCAAGAAGTCTTACATGAAAGTCTTGCATGTAATCGATCAAAATGATCCCTGCCAGAGCTTAAAAATGCGACGCTGAAAAATGGGACGCCGAAAAATGTGACGCAGATGGCACATATGGAACACCATACTTTTGATAAATTTTCAAGACAGACAGACAGACAGACCGACCACCAAGTGACATGTAGAAGCTCCTGCCAGAGCTTATTTTCCTTCTTTTTTCTCCCCCGTTCTTTTGCTTAGGATCAGAGAAACCGGTGATCGGGGAATCGCCAACCTTCGGCGGTAAGCCCGACGTTCCTCAGAAGAAACTGAGCTTCAGTCCGTCCATTGATGCCAACTCCCCAGCAGATGGTACCAAGAACAGGAAGACGGATCCCAAGAATAAGCCTAAGAAAGGTTTGTCAACCTTTTTGATTAATGAAAGGTTTGCGGAAACACCATGTGCGAATAATTTCTCAACTAAGAGAATGGTTCTGAAAAGAACCAGAGGTATAAACTCGACGTTCCGGTCAGTATGCTCTGACCGTCTTCAGAAGACGGTCAGAGCATACTGACCGGAACGTCGAGTTTATACCTCTGGTTCTTTTCAGAACCATTCTCTTAGTTGAGAAATTATTCGCACATGGTGTTTCCGCAAACCTTTCATTATTTAGTATCTCCACCATGCAAAGCCTCAAATCTTACTAACCTTTTTGATGATGAAGAATGAAAAAAAAATTAAAAGTTGAACAATCCGCACCAAACGTTTTACAAGGAATTGCAGTTTACCGATAAAATATTTGAAAGGATCACTTTCATCTGGAAGGTGACATTTTTCTCTCCTAAATTGCATTTGCCATTGAAATTTGTGGTTTTCCTCTGATTACAGTAAACTCTCCTTAAGTCAAATCTGAAAGGAATGGATAATCAATTTGAGGTATCCTGAGTTCGAGTTGAGCAAGGTTCCCACGTTTTCTATTTTTTTGTACATATGTACAAAAATGACTTCCACCGTAACTCGCTATGCCCAAACACGCTATTTGGCACAAAATACTTCTTATTTTGTTTCATTCTAATGGTGTTATTTTTTCAGTTAAAAATCATGATATTTACTAAGATTTCATATTGTTCTTACCTAAAAGTGTCTGCTCCATAGATAAACATAACATTCTCTTGATGGGAATGAAGTATGACGTAAAGATAAGCGGAGATTCGACTTATCCGACTTTGACTTCAGCGGTAAATTTTGGTCCGTGAAAACTGTGCCGTTTGAGTGCTGGTCTTGATTTTAGTTACACTTGTGTGAATTGTCACTTGATTGGATGCATTATACCCGAACCCTACTCTGACATTGACAGCTGTCCTGTTCATCTACTCATTTACTTTAGTGGGACTCGAACCCACAACCTTAAATTTTCACCCAATTATTGTCATTTATTTGAGCGCCTGAATAGCCATCTGACCTCGGCAAGCATGAGGATTGAGTCTGCACCACCAATCGGGAGGTTGTTGGTTCGAGTCCGTCACGATGTGAATTCCTTTTTTCTGTTTTTTTTTTTTCTATGACAGGACGTCGATCAGAAGGTCAGGGGTCGGCCAAGAAGGATTCCTCCAAGGTCCGTCGGCTATCGTTGAGGATTGAAAAAACTATAAGCGAACAAGAAACGGACGAAGATCCTATTCAACCCAACAAAACTGGAAACCTTCCTGAAATTCCCCAAAACGGTCCGACGCAGAAACTCGTCTTCCCCGATGTGCAGAAAATCTGCACGGACTCTAACAAGCATTCGGGAGGCAAATTTAAAACCAAAACGGACAAAGCAGTTTTATTTTGCGAAACAAACTTGCATTCTCGCGCCGTCGAGCCGCGAGTGGCCCAACCAAGAAAACGGAAGCTTCTGTCGACAAACACGGACGTCATCCCAAATCTGGTCCTCACGGAGCCGAAGAAATCAAGCAAGAAAGACGTGCTACCAAAAAAGGCCCGACTCTCTGGAAAATCGTCCAGAAATCTCAGCGATAGATTTGAGAAAGCCCAAGACATCACACACCAAGGTAGCAACAGTAGGGATGAAGGACTTTTGAAGGACCTTAAGTCGACAGAGTTTTGTGGTAAAAGTGACGGGAAATCTCCCGGTGGAGGGAAAAGCACGAGGAAAAGGAAAAAGGAAGTTTTGTCATCAGAATCATCTGGAGAAGAGACGACTCAGCCAGTAAAGAAGAGAAAAGGTACAATTAACAATACTTCAATCTTAGAAATCCTGTTTTGTTTTAATATCACACTTGATTTTGATTAGAAATCGATTGCACAATGGGCCAAAAGCACGCAAAGGAGTTTTATGTAACCGTGTCTTCATGACATCGTGAACTTTTTACAGCTTTGCCTTGACTGTAGGAGATTGATAAGCCAGCTGTACCTACCAGTTACTTGCTTTTGTCTGTTGATGGAATTTGACTAGTCATAATACTTTGTGGAATATGATCTGACTGTTGATGACCAGCCTGTGTATAAGCAATGGGAGGGGAAGTGGACTGACTTTCTGACTGTCTATGATTGATCAAACAGTAGGAGGGGTTCATTAAAATGCCACTGAAACCTTTCGTGACTTTTCTTTTAAATAGAGAACAACGATAAAACTCCGCCATCGGTTACGACAACTCAACATAAGAGAGGAAGCAACACACCGAATAGCCGCAGAAGTCTGGACGACTTTGCCCAAAATAAACGTCTGAAACAGCTCAAGGCGAAACAACGGAAGCCGCCCAAGAACAGGTCTGCGTCTTTGTCGACTCTAAATCCGGTCTCCGAAGAAAAAGTTGAAAATCCGGTCTCCGAAGAAAAAGTTGAAAATGGCATCGCTGAAAAACCCAAACTTGTCAACAACAAAAAAAGTGCGAGGCCGCAGTCACTGACTGGTGATTCTACCACGGGAGGGGGCAAAATCCGCAATGAAAATCACTCCAACGGAAAGCCCCGTAAAACATCCAGAACTAACTCTGCCATGCCGGATGATGATTCGGATGGCTCTGCATCAAATTCTGAGACTGACAAGACTTCCCAAAAAGACAAAGCCATCAAGGTGACAAAATCCACTAAGAAACTCAAGGTAAGTAGTGACAATTAATGCAGGCGTCAATTTGAAGCCTGAACCCACCCTCCTCACGTCATCACCTTTCTTCACCTGAGCCAATTATGTATAAGGTCAGGATTTCACCACCACTTCACTCTATCAGCAAGTGTTAGTCCAGGCTTCACCCTTTGAATTATTTCCAAAGGTGAAGCTTCACTTTTTCAGTTTTTGCCAGGTCTGACGCTTCACCACTGTTTCACCATATTGGCCATCTGCATAGTTCAAGCTTCACCTCTATTAAAATCAAGCTTCATTAATGTTTACTTATAACTAGACCATGACTGCAATGGTTAAATTTGTAATTCCACACTGCTAAAAAAGTACCAAGTCAACCAGGTTTCAATCGTTGCTATTAAACTTTCGCTAACGTTGGCGCGGCGCCGCACAGCTTGTTCGATCCACTCAAAATGAGATCGGTAGCAAACGTGCGCAAACTTGGCAACGTTTGCGCAAGTGGAACCACCACAGGATACAGTTTGCAAGGTGGTGCGGCGCGCGATGTTAGATTGTGTGTATTTGTGTGGGCAAACTTCAGTTCAAAAATTGCGCGCACGCAAATTCCAAGTTGGCTTGCGCGAATTTCAAAACAGGCCATCTTAAGATTGCATCACAATTACAGTTGTTTGAAACGCCACGACTTCGACATACTTTCGGCGCGACCGATGTCGTGGATTCGATGTCACATCACCAAACACAAATAAGGCTCGTCAACGCTTCACCCTTTCATCAACTTTATAGGTAACGCTTCACCCAATTATTAAAAAGGAACGTTACGGCTTCACTATAACAACAAATTATTGACCTCAGGCTTCGGCGTCGAAACGGCGTCGATATTTTGCGACCTCTGAGGAGGGTGGGTCCACGCTTCAAATTGACGCCTGCATAAAGGCACATAGGAACTTTGGTTATTAGTTGGAAATCCACCTTCCGATTTTAATAATGAGAAAAACCTTGCTCAGAGAGAAGATAGAGATGGAACCAAATACCCTGCGAAATTATTCCGCCAGAAATAGTATTGCTTGGAAGAAGACATTCCAGGTGGTTTTAACCAGTTTTCGCCGGAGGCCGTGTATACACGCAAAAGTTTTGCGGTATTCGGAACGGATGACAGATAAACACGCAGGGAGCGAGGCCGGAAATTTCTGTCGGCGACCCGCTTGCAGCGAGCAAGGCCGGAAATATGAGTGTGCTGCCCGAGGGTGATGGCTTCAACCCGCCTGGCTTGAGGTCGAGGGAAAAGTAATCACGCCTCGTTCCGTTCTTGTCAAAATAATCCCGGCGTCAACTGGTTAAAAATTGTGCTGAGGACACTGTTTTTTTGTGAGTTAGCAACAGAATCCAGTTAAAAGACCCACAAATCATGCAGATGTTTTTTTTTCTGTTTTTCCCAAAATGTATTGTATCCACTGAGCTGAATCTTTAACAGGTTAATAGTTACGCATTGTGAGCAGTTTTGTCGCTTCAAATGAAAAAAAAATACATAAAAAGCAAATGATCCTAAGTAGCATTAATTAATCAAATTAGGTTTTGCCCTTCACCGACGTTTAAACACTGTATACTCAGTGTGTTACCTCCCGAGTGAAAGTTGGAAAAAATCACCCAGGTAGGACTCGAACCCACGACCTCCTGCTTTCTAGTGCAGATGTCTTACCACTCGACCACCGAGCTAATGGGATCAGTTGGCTGGTTCGAATCTGATGTACATAGCAGCGGGTACCGCATAAACTATTATAAGATGGAATTTTTCCAACTTTCACTCGGGAGGTAACACACTGAGTATACAGTGTTTAAACGTTGGTGAAGGGCAAAACCTAATTTGATTTATATCACCCCGACACGAAATTCCATCTTATAATACCATTGATTAGCAAGATTATTTGAGTTTCTTCCCAGGCATCATTTATTGCATCGATTTCCAATTTTGCCAAAACTTTGAAAAAGTAATTTATGTTTTGTTCCTTTTTCTTCAGAGTGTTAAACCATCCATTGTTATGACAAGCGTCCATGCTGGGTAGGTGTATTGTTTGTGAATTAGTGGTTTCACGTACTTTTTCATTGTCTTTTCAGACTGATATTTAAATATTTTGCAGTGTGATGTATATATTTGAATGGCTAGAAGCTGGAAGTGCATTACGTTGCAGTCTTTGCAAAATTCTGTGTGGCTTCATTTGAAAGATCAATTTAACTTTTTATTATGGAGTTTTTATATATATACAGGGTGAGTAACTCAAATGGCAGGACCAATTTTTGAATGAAGCTTTGCCAGTGGCACTTGCAAAATCTAGGAATATGAAAGCCCAAGTAATGAGGTTTCTTTTAGTATATGAATCATTTAAATCACTCATGTACTTTTCAAGTTACAGCATTTTGAATGATTCTTGTACTAAAAGAAAGCTTAATGACTGGGCTTTCATATCCTAGATTTTGAAAGTTCTACAGGCAAAACTTCATTCAAAAATTGGTCCTGCCATTTGCGCTGCCTTTTTTTTTAATCACCCTGTGTAGTCAGACTTGCAATTCACTTTAATTCCTGTAACGTAGTTTAGCAGTTTTTCAAAATATAAAAAAGAGAAATCTTATCCGAATGTCCTTGTCGTGTAGAGATCAAGACCTAGTCACATCCGTCATCAAGAAGCTGAAACGTTTCACGATGGAAGACAATGTCTCCCATACAACCACACACATCGTCTGCGGTGAGAGTCGCCGAACCTTGAACCTGCTCCGCGGTATCGCCAGAGGATGCTGGCTGCTCTCTGTAGAGTGGGTACGTAGAGAGCTATAGACTGCGTGCACATGTACCCCCCTCAATGGCAAGAACGGGAAAGTTGGGGAAAAACAGCTGGGAGAGACATTCAAACGCATTGCCAGCGACGCCCGATGCTTACGCAGAGACGCTGTTGCTTTTTATGCACATTCATATTATATAAAATACATTGTGTGTACCTCACGCCATACATGGCCGAAGTGGTACATGCATGTGGTGTGTCCCATACAATGAGCTCTTGAAAGTGATTAAAAAATGCCCGCTCTTGTTCACGCACAGAGCTCATAGACAGTAGATGGCGCTCTTTGGCCATTCATAGAAGGCGTAAATGTGTGGGACAACCCACGAGAGCACTGCTTTGCGCATGAATTGCACTGAGTATAGTTGACGCCATTAAATTAATACAAAGCCAGCCAGACCTAGACCAACCGTTTGTTATATATCCAAATTTTGTATTAAAGAGAGTCAAATGTACATACAACTTATTTCATCTGAAAACCATTAAACTGAAGGGTGTCTGCCTAACGTGAAATCACAGTAACAGCGCCCTCGGATGTCAGCAATAAGCGAGTTCGTTATTCCAACTTGGGCATGTGCACATCAAGATTTGCCGATTTTTCTTTCGGGATAAACAGTTCATCGTATGCGTGCAAAAGCATAGCGGGGTATCAGCAAAATTGTAGAGAGCGTCGTGTTCTGAAGTACAACATTTTGCAAAAAACCTTTGGACAGCAAAGTGGTTTTTAGGTGTCTTGTGTTGTCATAACTTTTGTGCGAACGAAAGTTCCATCTCTTTTTGATTGCACAGAATGCAGATTTGGTTACCATAATACATGTATAAGCCTTGTGTGCATTTATCTACTGCGGTTATCCCGAAAAATCGTCAAATCTGGCTGCATGCATCAGACTATTTTGGAATACCGAACTGGCTTATTGCAGGAAACAGTTTAAATGTTTTGAAGAGGGGCACTTCACCAAAATCTTATCCAAAAAGGGTTGTCTCATAGTTTTTATATCAGAGGAATAGATATTTGCACGAAATAGGTTCCAGTGTGAAATTCTTGTCATGGTTGCTTTAAAAACACAAAGTTACCGATGGAAAAGCTGCACAGCTCATCATTTGACTTGAGAATGGATATTAACTTTTGTGGAGCACCGTGGTCCATTGGTTACGGTGTTCGACTCATGTGCCACGGTACATGGGTTCGAACCCTGATGGGAAACCTGATGCTTGTGTTCTTGGGCAAGACACTTTACTACAATTACCTCTCCCCGCCCAGGAGTATAAATGGGCACCTGTGAAGGTAGAGACCAGATTGCGCCTGTCTCGAGCTGCTGCAGGAAAAGTAGTCTCATGGGCTGATGAGCAGGGTAATAGTTGTGAAGCACTTTGAGACCTTTGGTATAAAGCGCTATTTAAGCACATTATTATATTATTATCATGACGACTTCATTAAAGCTTGGCTAGAAGATACCGGCAGGATTTTATTAATGGATTGATGTTGCACCAATAGTTCCTCCCCTTTATTTTTTTCTTTGAAGGTCTTGAAGTCGTTGGAGGCTGAAAAGTGGCTGCCCGAGGAACCCTATGAAATCCAGGATGCCTTCCCAGCAGCAAAGGTTAAACAATATTCAGAGATTTCAATCAATTTGCTGTAGAAAAACCATGGAATTTTCAATTTAGAAACAGAACTCTTCGCATACTAAATTTCATGATCCTTTTTCTGTTTTGACATAAAAAATATTCACCAACATAACTGGGCGGCGTCTAATGAAATAGTTGTCTGCCCGATCACGCTGTGTTTGTAGATCAACAAACGCAAATCTCTAGTTTTACATTTATTTCACAAAAAAAGTACATGAACATCGGAACATTTGCTTTTTGTTATTTGTTATTTTTTCATTTGAAGCAACAAAATTGCTTAAGATCTCAAGAAGGGTACATAACAACCAACTTGTTGAAGTTTCAGCTCAGTGTTTACTATACTTTTTCAGAAAACAGAAAATGTATGCATAGTGTTTGGGGTCCCTCACTTGCTTATTTTTTGCACATAAAAACTGCCACAGGCACATTTAAAAAAAAAAAAAAACAGCACAAAGCAATGATTGTTTACTTCCAAATGATACCATTTCGTTCACTTGGTACCAGTCCTATCTTCACTTTGAGCTAGGATTTTTTTCTTTAAAGGTACAGGACATCATTTGTAATTTGTGCATTATGTTCGTTTGAAGCTACAAAAGTGCTGAAAATCTTAAGCTGGGTGCTTAACAGTTAACCTGATGACGTTTTAGCTTAGTGTATGCTGTATATTCTGAGAAAACAATATTCTGGGATCTTGATTTCAAATCCAAAGTTGCTGAGTCATGTTTTGAATTAAGCCCGAATTCAGCATCTGGACACGTTCCCATCCAGCCGATTGCAGCTTGGAAATTTCCAATGATGCGTCTTTAGATGCATCGTTGGAAAGGCCTTCTTTCATTGTTTTCTTCAAAATGACAACTTGCCAGAAAGACTAATTTCACTGGAGGTTTAGTCCCATTATTATCTTTCAACCAAGTATGCTTTTCAACAATAATTACGTCAGTTACTTTTTGGATAGCTGCAAATGATGGACTGTAGCTTTAAATTGGTAGGTTCATTTCTGGGTAATTGCAAATGTCCACCTACGTTCCAATAATCTTTGGTTTTATCCTCGCGTCTAATTCTTTCAGATAGCGAGACAGGAGCGTTGTAAGTCAGGCAGCTCCTTCAAGCGAGATCTCTTCTCATCCCTGGGCCCTATCTACGTCAGTGAGACGAGCAGCCCGCCTAAAGCCCATCTGGTCGAACTGATCGAACTCTGCAGCGGCATAACGTGCGGCTATGCCAGCCAAGCTAGTCTGTGCATCGGCGGAGGCAGGAACCAGACTGGAACACCAGCGGTTTTGGAGAAATGGCTGCTGGGTATGTATGAATATTCATATTCTTGTTTGCATATTCATATTCATTTTTTTAAAAATAGTTAATAATGTGGCGCCTGTATAAATTGTTGACCAAAAGTCGCAAAGTGCTTCACGATTATTACCCCTGTTCATCAGGCCATGAGACCAGTTTTCTGCAGCAGCTCAAGATCATCGCAATCTGGTCTCTGCCTTCACAGGTACCCATTTATACTCCTGGGTGGAGACGGCCCATTGTAGTAAAGTCACTTGCCCAAGAACACCATATTCCCAGCCCCATAAACCATCTATTGGGAATGCTGTTCAAAACGGATATTGGGTATAATCGGGCAATAGTTGGCACAACATACAATTTTTTGGTGATAAGACGACAGTGCCCGTGCATTTAATTTTTTCCCCGTTTTTCCCCCTTTTTGTTCTATTTTCCAGACTGTATTTCTCAACACCAGACACTCCCCCTCGACAATTACTTGCTGTGATGGACTTCAATTTTATCTTTACATCCACACTTTTGTAATCGAAGAACATCATCTAAACAGATTAATGAGTTACTTACAACAAAGAAGAAGAAACAGAAACGGAACATTATTTATCGGAGGTTATGCTAACCCATTAGCAACTGTACTGCATTGTATTACATTGTGTTTATTCACTGAAGAATCGATAAAATTGACCATAGATTGCTCGGACGATTTTGGGCACTACATGCATGGTGGTTTGGTGCGTTAGCGTAAAGGGTCAATGAATTATTTTATATTTGAAGCAACGATTGAGATTTGATCCATGAAGTTTGATGCATTTGAGGTGTTATACTTAAGGAACTTAAGTTGATGGATCACAAGTCAGTCACAAGTCAGTCACAAGTCAGTCACAAGTCAGTCACAAGTCAGTCACGATTCACGTCACCAGTCTGTCACAAGTCAGTTAGAAGTCAGTCACAAGTCAGTTAGAAGTCGGTTAGAAGTCACGTCACCAGTCTGTCACAAGTCAGTTAGAAGTCAGTCACAAGTCAGATCACCAGTCTGTCACAAGTCAGTTAGAAGTCAGTTAGAAGTCAGTCACAAGTCAGTCACAAGTCAGTCACAAGTCAGTTAGAAGTCAGTCACGAGTCAGATCACCAGTCTGTCACAAGTCAGTTAGAAGTCAGTTAGAAGTCAGTCACAAGTCAGTCACAAGTCAGTTAGAAGTCAGTCACGAGTCAGATCACCAGTCTGTCACAAGTCAGTTAGAAGTCAGTTAGAAGTCAGTCACAAGTCAGTCACAAGTCAGTTAGAAGTCAGTCACGAGTCAGATCACCAGTCTGTCACAAGTCAGTTAGAAGTCAGTCACAAGTCAGTCACAAGTCAGTTAGAAGTCAGTCACGAGTCAGATCACCAGTCTGTCACAAGTCAGTTAGAAGTCAGTTAGAAGTCAGTCACAAGTCAGTTAGAAGTCGGTTAGAAGTCACGTCACCAGTCTGTCACAAGTCAGTTAGAAGTCAGTCACAAGTCAGTCACGAGTCGGATCACCAGTCTGTTACAAGTCAGTTAGAAGTCAGTTAGAAGTCAGTCACAAGTCAGTTAGAAGTCACGTCACCAGTCTGTCACAAGTCAGTTAGAAGTCAGTCACGAGTCAGATCACCAGTCTGTCACAAGTCAGTTAGAAGTCAGTTAGAAGTCAGTCACAAGTCAGTTAGAAGTCGGTTAGAAGTCACGTCACCAGTCTGTCACAAGTCAGTTAGAAGTCAGTCACAAGTCAGTCACGAGTCGGATCACCAGTCTGTCACAAGTCAGTTAGAAGTCAGTTAGAAGTCAGTAACAAGTCAGTCACAAGTGACTAGACTCGTGAATTGATTTGTGATAACTTGTGACCTGGCTTGTGAGCCATCACAATTACAATGTAGCTCTGCAACACACACTACGTCTGATTTCACTATGTACAGTAAACTCCGGCTAAACCGGCACTCTCGGGACCCGAGAATTTGTGACGACTTACGCGAATGCCGATATGTGCTGTAAGTCGTCATTTTGCCGACTTACATGAATGGTCTTTTGCACACATGATTCATTGCACTAATTGGCTTCGATTTACCCTGGATTATCTCCTTAATGCTTGAGTTGAATCCAGCAAATTAATCCTCGAATTGTATCATCACGTTTGGGGTATGGATAGTGGAGACCAGACCACGATACATATGTACGTACACAGTAACGAATTAAATGCGTGCGTGGTCCAGTATAGCTATACCTCGCACGCATTGACTGCAGCACTAGTCATTCAATAAGACGACCCCCAAAATGGACAGAGCGCATGCGTACAGCCTAGACGATGCATATGCGATGTATGCAGTAGGACACCCTTTTGTGACACCGATGCATGCAGCGATCACGGGCCGTGCGAAACCACTTTTCACTCGACACTTTGCCAACCGCAGTACAGGAAGTTGATGCAAATGCGTGATTTGTTGAATGCCGACTTACACAAAGGATTTTGTAATGCTTTTTATGGAAAGGGGACCAGGAGTAACACGACGACTTGAGCGAAATGGCAACTTATAAAAATGGAAATGCGTAACGGACAATCAGGACTTGAGTCAGACGGCCGACTTGAGCGATTTGACAATGTCGGTTTAGCTGGAGTTTAGTGTTATTACATTCATAAATACCTAAGACAGTTTACCCATTCCAATTGGTGGAGAGCCCTTCACCTGGCCTGTTTTAAACGGTTGATAAAGACTGGCTGGCACTTTTCCAGTGTCGCATGAAATTTGGACTCCTATGAAATCCGGCGCCTCTTACCATTCTATTGGTTGAATGTTCACGATCCTCACGTAGGCATGCGCAATCTACCAGTGAGGAGAAGTCCTAAAATCACTGTACACCAGAACAGCTGCGTTCTGCGCCACTTGCGCAGTAGGGGCGACGTGCGCTCCAATTTCCATATAAGGAGTTGTTTACGAGCTTTCGCGAGATGGATAAATTCCATAATATAAGTAAGCCTGGAGGGGTGTTTCGAAAAACCTGAAGTAAAATTGTCAACAAATTTGTTTGAAATTTATAATTTTTGATTTGTTTTGACTTTTGAAACGAAAAATTTAATTTTTTTTCGACTGCAAAGGTATTTTAATGAATGGGAATAAATAAGTGCTTCGGCTTGGGTAATCATCAGCATCCAGACTTCAAACGGTCTTAAACAGAGTGTTCAAAACCGGCCAAGCACACATTTATTCCCGTAGTAAAAGCTAAACTAGAAGCATTCATACAGTTTTTGTAAGTACGTTTTCAGAAAGTGCATTTTTTTTTGGAAATCCAGCATTTTTTGTGAACGTTTTACTGGTAACTAAAGCTTTTGGCAGCTCGTATTTTCATAATTTCTTCAGCATGGACTAGAATTAAAATGAATTTCAGATTTTGTACAAAGATTAAGAAGCAAATCTGTTTGTATCAACACCTCAATAAGTAGTTGTCGGAATTGTTTTTGTAAATAGAAAAAGTTGTGCAAACGTAACTTTACAGAGCTCATAATTGGTTACGCGTATGAAATAAATTAAAAGATACTTTTGCCTTGACCAAATTAACTAACATTTGTTTTTTGTCTCCAAAACTGCATTTCTAACCGAACAATTTGTAAACCTCCAGACGTGTATTAACATTAATTTGCATGATTTACCTAATTCTGTTGTTTTATTTTAACTTTTTTATATGATATTTCTCTTCATATTTTGTTGAAGAAAAAATAAATTGATATTTAATATTCACACTCGCATGGTAGCTGTGTTTCCCATATTGTATTGGTTGATTTTTTTAAAAATTATTATGATAATAAGGCATTGATTTTCATATGGAATTATTCTTGTAACGTACCGGTATCATGATGCACAAGTTCATTAGTACAAAGTTCACATTCAATAGGGCAAAGTCAATAATTTAATAGCCCAAGGTTTTGCAGATTAAAATCTCTTAAACCCTGGATGGTTTTGGTTTCAGACCAAGTAGACAATCTCATCATTCAAGTGACGTGGGCGTTGCAAAACTCATTTGACATGGTTGTGTCAGTTGAACTTGTACTATCGGACCCACAATAGGTTCAAACGCAAAAGGCAGAAAGTTGCTTGAACTACATGCGCATGCAGGGCTCGAGCCCAAGTAAACCGATTGTGAAATCCAAACTTGAATTCTTGCATTGCACACATACTGAAATTTGTATCCTTGTGGAGACATTTCTTTGTTCTCGTGTAGTCAAGTACTTTCAAAATGTTCTTATTTTAACCATAATTAATTTCCTTGGCTGAAATTCGGACTTAACATCCCTTTTCTAAAACTCTTCCATTTGCGACGGATCAACCCACCTTGGAAATTACTAGTTTTTGAGTAAAATCCAATATCTATTTCGTGAAACCTTGTGGAGACGTATTCATCTATAGAAATTGCCCTGTTGAGACGTATGCAATCTTTTGTTCCCTATTGTGTGCATGTCTCCAGAGGGCACGGTGTATCAGATCACAGTACCCTATTGAACCTTGGTCCAGTTTCTAAACAGTCTGTGCACGACTGCTCAAATAGGGCTGTGCGTCAGAACCGGGTACCGTACCCGAGTACCCAACCGTTATTATCAGGAATTTTGTTCCAGATTATGGAATCGATTAGAGTACCCATAATTAACTTAACATACCGGTATACATAGTAACTTCTCAGACAATGATAAAGAAAGGTTTTGAATATCATTCATGGGGAATTTTCCAAATGAAAATCATGCTACATATGTGCATGGAAAAACAAAACAGATGCAGACTTTTGTCTGTAATCAGACGTTTTGAATGTGAGAGAAAGATTTTATCATAGGTGTGCACCTTTTCCTCGGATCCGCTGATTTCCTCGTTTTTTTTTTACTTCTCATGATATGCCATTACAAATTGAAAAATACTGTACAAAGTCTTGTGTATTTTGGAATTTCCTCGGTTTTTTTTCTGAATACATTTGTACCCAGTTGCATGGAGGTCTGTTTATCAGTACAGAAAGAAATGCATCTTTCAGACCTTTCATCAAATTTTCAGACATTTGTTAAATTGACAATCTCATCCCTGCTTATGACAACCCAATGTTTAATAAGAAGAGCCCACTTAACCTAAGGGATCACAAATGACTTCCTGTGAGTTATAAAGACAAGCAACATGTTGCTGCTGAGTTCAGATTGTTTAAAGATCACGGGAAAGTTGATTTCACATTTTAGGGAAAGGTGTCTCAATATACACCCTGCTGATCCTTGTTGCCTTGAATGCCGGAGACCGAGTCTCAAGACCAACAACACTGATGTACACCCCTCAGTTCAGAATGGAACAGGCCCAATTGTGCTATATTATCTTTTACCATAGAGCTAGGACCGAGCTCTATGCTTTGGCCATGAGTCCACTTATTGATTCTATAGCCCCTGGGATGTACTGTACATGTTGTGGTTCTGTACATGTACAGTGTGTGTCACTACATGTACATGTACATGTACTTGCAGAGTAACCACTGGCGTCAACTACATGTAGTATTTCTACTCACAATTTTTGTGTGCTCGGTTTCCTGAGAAGAGTACTATAGTTTTAGTGGTAAAATGGCAGCGTTACCGCTATTGTCAGCCTATGGTCCATACATGTTGTATGTGCTGGGCTTAACTCTGTGCGTTATCCTCGGTTCCTGTGTCGTGCTGGTGTTAGCATGGGCGCTGCACACCTACAACGTTTATCAGAAGTATCGTCATCTGCCGGGTCCAAAGGTGGCACAGTAAGCATGAATTTCATTTTTTGGTAATTAGTTCTCCTATTCTTTCATTAAACTTGTTGATAAGGCAACTTTAGTTAGGCCTTTTTAGGCTATTGTCGCCCCTACCCGTAAACTAAAGGTAGGCCTAATAACTAATATATTATTATAGGGCCTAGAACATTTGCAAACGTCAAAAAACAAAACCAATTATGAAATACCTTACGTGACTGTAAGTGAATAAAAGTCTCAAGCATCCTGTGAAATCATGGCACCTGGTGTGCTGTCACTTTCAAGAAAAGTGGAATCTTTGTATAGATTTCCAACAATTTTCAGCTGACCATCATTGGAGACAAATTACTTTTCTTTTCCAAATGCTGCCCCAAATTTGTCAAAATTAGTTAGTCCACATTTTGTTTGCAATCAGTTACACAAGGCAGCTATAGTCCGTTTCCCAACATGTGTAGGCAAGTTCACACTTAATAGTGGAGCTGCTTAGGTCCATTTTTGGCCCAAATCGTGCACTTTGTGGTAAAAGCATGAAATTTGGCAGGTGGGGTCCAAATGGGCTAGAATTCATTTTAAGATCGGGACCCATCATTTTGGGGGCGGAGCTTGATTTTTTTTTTAAAGGGGGTGCAAACAATACAAACTCATAAAAACTGTATTTAACATCCATTTTCCTTGTTTTTCTATGGTTTGAAATAAACTTAAACATAAAATATAGCATTCTAGCATTCGAACACCAGTTAATTTCCACCCATTTTGTGGGCGTGGCCTAAATGTACAAAAGAGGCGGTATATATTAGCAGTTTTGTTCTAATATGGAAAACATTATTCGGTTTGGTAGTAAAATCCTGAAAATTGGCAGGTCCAGTTAAAATGGGCTGAAAATAATTTTAAGAGGTGAACACATCTTGGATCTTGCACAATTTTGGGGGGCAGAGCTTGATTTTTCAAAAAGGGGAGTGCAAAAAATTAAAAACCTCAGAAAAACTGTATTTAACATCCATTTTCCTTTGTTCTTCATGCTTGAAATAAACTTAGACATGAGAAATAACTTGAGGAGAAATAACACGTTAAAATTGTGCAGCAGCAGGTTTCCAGTCGAACCAGTGAGTTTGGTGGTTTGAGACATCATCTTACATTGAAAGACATCATCTTACGTTGCCGACGCGCATGGCTATGGCGACGCGCGCGCATACCAGAAACCAGAGCCTTTTTTGGCCTAATAATCGTTTACTAATTCGTTTCGTATGAATACAAAGGAGTAAATGCTTCAGATTTCAAATATGCACTTGTCATTTACAAGGCTGGGTTGGGGCAACCTAGAAATTATAAAGCAAAATAATTCTGCACAAAAACTACTGCATTTATAAAGTTCATAAAGTACAAATGATACCATATGTTTGTATGAATAAAGCATGGCATTTGCTTTTTCTACCACTTTCGAAGCATTTACTCCCATCTGCATGAATGAAAATTAAGCAAACACTTTTACTAAAAACCATTTGCTCTTGAGTAAATGGCCTGCAAAATGTAAAGCTTTACACGTTTATAAGTTTGCAGAAAATAAAACTATCGTAACCGAAACGGAAAGCGGCACTGGGGAGGGTCACGTGCTGGAGGACAGATACAAAAACAAGCGCATCAAACGCGACGAACGCAATGCCGTTTACGCACACAATGCGCTGTGCATCGGCACCCATGGTCTACATGTGGATTGGGTTTTCAGTCCCTACCTGATTCCGTGGGTTTTCCCCAGACTATTCTTCAAGGGTTTTCCTCCCACCTCTAAAACTGTAATTTCTTCTCATTGTCTTCTCTCTACGTTTTTTTTTCGGGGTTTGCGAGCTACAGTGCCTGGGGCATGCACTTTTGAGGATCCTTGGTTTCATTACCAGAAAAAAAAATTATTTATCGTTTACTTCGTTTCGTATGAATATACATGTAAAGGAGTAAATGCTTCAGATTTCAAATATGCACTTGTCATTTACAAGGCTGGGTTGGGGCAACCTTGAAATTATAAAGTAAAATAATTCTGCGCAAAAATTACTGCATTTATTAAAGTTCATAAAGTACAAATGATACCATGTTTGTATGAATAAAACATGGCATTTGCTTTTGCTACCACTTTGATGCATTTACTCGCATCTGTATGAATGAAAATTAAGCAAACACTTTTACTAAAAACCGTTTGCTAAATTCTGAAAATAATTACTTAAAATTTACCTTTAAGCTTTTGCTACACTATAAGCGTTAACTTTGTTTCTTAAGAATAAAAAGGAGTAAATGCTACAAATTTTAAATATTTACTTGTCATATTTCAAGGTTGGGTTGGGGCTACCTTCAAAATATAAAAGCACATAATTCTGCGCATAAATTACTGCATTTATTAATGTTAATTGCGAAAAAGTACAAATAATACCATACGGTAGTTCGTATGAATAAAAACTGGCATTTGCATTACTCCCATCTGTATGAATAAAAATTAATCAAAGGCTTTTACTAAAAACCATTTGCTCTTGAGTAAATGGCCTGCAAAATGTAAGCTTTACACGTTTATAAGTTTGCAGAAAATAAAACTATCGTAACCGAAACGGAAAGCGGCACTGGGGAGGGTCACGTGCTGGAGGACAGATACAAAAAAAGCGCACCAAACGTGACGAACGCAATGCCGTTTACGCACACAATGCGCTGTGCATCGGCACCCATGGTCTACATGTGGATTGGGTTTTCAGTCCCTACCTGATTCCGTGGGTTTTCCCCAGACTATTCTTCAAGGGTTTTCCTCCCACCTCTAAAACTGTAATTTCTTCTCACTGTCTTCTCTATACGGTTTTTATGCCCCGCGGCGAAGCCGAAGGGGCATACTGTTTCCGCCTTGTCCTTCCGTGGGTGGGTGGGTGGGTGGGTGTGTGGGTGTGTGTGTGTGTATGGGTGGGTGGGTGTGTGTGTCCGGACAAATCTTGTCAGCACGATAACTTGAGAAATACTTAACATATGAACTTCAAATTTGGTCTGTGTATTGTTCTTGGTAATCCTAAGAGGCCTATTGCATTTGGGGCCGAAAGGTCAAGGGTCAAGGTCACAGTGGCTGAAACAATAGAAATTTTGTCAGCGCGATAACTTGAGAAATACTTTACATATGAACTTCAAATTTGGTTTGTGGATTGTCCTTGGCAATCCTGAGAAGCCTTTTGCATTTGGGGCCGAAAGGTCAAGGGTCAAGGTCACAGTGGCTAAAACAAAAGAAATTTTGTCAGCGTGATAACTTGAGATATACTTTACATATGAACTTCAAATTTGGTTTGTGGATTGTCCTTGGCAATCCTAAGAGGCCTATTGCATTTGGGGCCGAAAGGTCAAGGGTCAAGGTCACAGTGGCTGAAACAATAGAAATTTTGTCAGCGCGATAACTTGAGAAATACTTTACATATGAACTTCAAATTTGGTTTGTGGATTGTCCTTGGCAATCCTGAGAAGCCTTTTGCATTTGGGGCCGAAAGGTCAAGGGTCAAGGTCACAGTGGCTAAAACAAAAGAAATTTTGTCAGCGTGATAACTTGAGATATACTTTACATATGAACTTCAAATTTGGTTTGTGGATTGTCCTTGGCAATCCTAAGAAGCCTATTGCATTTGGGGCCGAAAGGTCAAGGGTCAAGGTCACAGTGGCTAAAACAAAAGAAATTTTGTCAGCGCGATAACTTGAGAAATACTTTACATATGAATTTCAAATTTGGTTTGTGTATTTTTCTTGGTAATCCTAAGAAGCCTATTGCATTTGGGGCCGAAAGGTCAAGGGTCAAGGTCACAGTGGCTGAAACAATAGAAATTTTGTCAGCGCGATAACTTGAGAAATACTTTACATATGAACTTCAAATTTGGTTTGTGGATTGTCCTTGGTAATCCTAAGAAGCCTTTTGCATTTGGGGCCAAAAGGTCAAGGGTCAAGGTCACAGTGGCTAAAACAATAGAAATCTTGTATTTATTCTGAGATCATAGGGATTAGGGATTAATTCATATAAAACCTACAGAAGACACTAATGCTGTCAATTAATGAACGTTCCATGTGACCAAGGTACATGTAAGTTGATGTTGAAAGAGTGGTGTTATGTCATGGGAACAGTCACGGTTGCGGGGCATTTGTGTTTGTAAACACACCTGACTTGTTTTTTTCGGGGTTTGCGAGCTACAGTGCCTGGGGCATGCACTTTTGAGGAATCCTTGGTTTCATTACCAGAAAAAAATTATTTATCGTTAAATCGTTAAATATGCACTTGTCATTCACAAGGCTGGGTTGGGGCAACCTTGAAATTATAAAGCAAATAATTCTGCGCAAAAATTACTGCATTTTTAATTCCCCAGCCTAATTTACTACGAACCGTACCCATTCAGGCAAATTCCAACACCCACATGGGAAATTGTACACACACGCTGTTGGACTTAGTTTCTCTGGAGGTATGCCAACCCCAGTGTAAAAGACCATCTATTTAGGGGAACTGTACCTATCCCAACAGATTTAAAAACTGCCAATATATACCGCCTCTTTTGCCATTTAGACCACACCCACAAAATTGATGTTAAATACAGTTTTCATGAGTTTGTATTGTTTGCACCCCCTTTTTTGAAAAATCAAGCTCCGCCCCCAAAATGGGCAAGATCCAGGATGGGTCCAGATCTTAAAAATGAAATGATTTTTAGCCCATTTTGACCCCACATGCCAAATTTCATGCTTTTACCACAAAGTGCACGATTTTTCGCTTAGCAGCTCCACTATAATTACAGCTGTAGATTTTAGATGTTCTCCCCTGGTCCTAACCATTGTGGGTTTTACCTAGTCCGAAACTTTGGGACTCTCATCAATACTGTGTATGAGAGTCCCAAAACTTAAGGTATTGAAAACATGCAAAACAAGAATATAGACTGGCACCTAAAACAACCAGTCCAACACAGCTTCAGTACTGCATCAATCAACCATGCCAAAAGAATTTAAGAAACATGTGGCATGAAGCGGGAACTAGTCTCAATTTACTACACATTTTTCCATAGTCAAGCCACCAGACTATTGACACTGAATGAAGAGGTCAGTCTTTTCAAATAGTTGGACCATGGTCTAGTAATAGTATTTAGCCCCATTTTGAAATCACTTGACTTCCCTCTCATGTGCAAAATATTAAAGAAATGTCTCCTTTCAAAATTGAATTGAGTCTGCAAACTTGGTTGGTGAAATACTGAGGACATTTTCTTTGCCCCAGTGGAATTTTACCCATGTAGACTGCTGGACTGTACTTTAGCCCAGGTGGACTCCCTTTCATCCCTACGTAAGGGTGGGAGTCCAGGGTATAAAGTGCTCAAAACCGGGCGAAAAAATTTATGACCAGTATTTTCAATATTTTTACCTTGTTGGAGAAGCTAATTTTTACGTCGTAGTATTCTATGTAGCCTTATCTATTGGGCCGCTGGGTTCAGAAATTCCATATGCGATGCTGACCGACCTTAATCTGGAAAATAAACTCAAAAGCAACGTTAAACTTGTACGTGTTTGTAGACTCTTTTCATCAGTTTCTCACCGCCGAGTCGTACATGGTGTACGTCTGTGCAGCTTGTAGTCTGGTTCCCTAGACCGGACAATTATTCTCGACGCTCATATCACGTCTGGTCCGGGGGCCAGACTATGCAGCATGAATATGCAGTGCGCACGCGCGATTTGCTTAGTAACCACCCTCATACGCACGCGCACTTACTTGAAGGCGCGGTCGCTAATCCAATGACCGAGCGTGTTTTCGTGCCAGTTACCAGAAACACGTTTCGGCTTTGGTCATTGGTTGAGCGTTTTCGTGACATCGGTTGGCTGGAGTGACGTCACGGTTCCAACCAAAACTAAACAAATGAGGGTGCTAGCATGCGTGCGCGCTTTCGTAGGTACGCACGTACATTGTACATGACGTACGACTCTGGGAATAAACTGATGAAAAGAGACTACAAACACGTACAAGTTTAACTCTGCTTTAGAGTTTATTTTCCAGATTAATGTCGGTCAGCATCACATATGGAATTCCTGAACCCAGCGGCCCAATAGGTAAGGACATATAGAAAATGTAGGCGTGAAATAAGCTTCTGTAACGAGGTAAAACATAACAAAAATCTGGTCCAAATTTTTGGTGGTCTTATGTAGAGAATTCTCACCCTGGACGTTAGTCATAATGCAATGAAGACTTCGTCCAACCTGGGCTAGACTGTACTTGTGTCTTGTAATGTATTTCAGTTATTATTTTGTCTAGCTTCTTCAGTGGACATGCCATGGCAGTAAGAGATGCTCTTAGCCCGGGCAAGCTCATATTTGGTGATCTCATCTGTCAGTGGTAAGTGAACAGATAGATAAAAATGCACACACAAAAAATGTGTACAAAGTCTGTGGGATCATGGTGGGATGTTGGATAGAACAAAAAGAAGAAAGAAGAAAGACACAACAAATCCGAACAAAAACAAAAGCTTTTCGGCAACTATGCGGAGAAGCCAAAAAAAAAAAAAAAAGATCACTTTCACTTTTTTCTGAAGGCAAGCATTTACTTAATAAACTGATCCATGTATACCCTGCCCCTTGATGTTTTGACCAATCACAGCCTTGTTAACTATCCGACGTGTGCACAAAAGTCTGAAACATGTACACAAAAATGACACGCAGGGTGGGCACACACAGGTTGGCATTGTATTTGTATGGAGAGGTGCACATGTTGTTGCCATGTTGTACGCAGTGGGCGGGGCCTATATCGTCCATCATAAACATGATTGGATGTTGATAATCCGGTTTGTTAGTGTGACGTCATCTCAATTCAACAATGCGTACTTGACACTGTGTAGCATAGCAGGAATGGAACCAGAAGTTAACGCAACTCGAGCGTTTATCCAATGGGCGCTAATAATCAGTGGAGCGCGTGGGTGTATGACGTTTTTATTAACAAACCAGATAAAACAATACATGTAATGTGTCCATATTACCAACAACAAATTGTGTAGTGTTTACATGGCAACACATTCTCTGTGGTACTACTGACTACATACAAGTTATCTTTGTCAAGGTTTGACATTATATTTAGCCCTAACAGTCCTGAAGCCTCCAATTTCAATCCGATTTTGCACACCCCCTAGGGAGTTAAGGTTTTAAAGGGAAAATACAACATTTGCAAACATTGAAGAACAAAATGATCCAATTATCACGAAATATCTTTTTGCATTGTTAGGGAATGACAGTCTTGTATCCTGAAAAACCGTGGCTCCTAGTGTGCTGACATTTTCAAGTAAACTTGTATTTTTCCAACGCTGGTCGGCTGACCAGCGTTGGAAAAATACTGTAACTGTTTTTTTTTTGGTTGTTTTTTTTTTTGCTCCAGGCGTCAAGAACATGGACCAGTATTTGTGCTGTTTTTCTTTGCTCGTTCAATGATCATTGTGAGTTCCCCAGACGGCGTAAAAGTAAGTCACAACATAAAAAGTTGAACTGTTACCCTTCGGGCTATTGAACCTTTGGACTGTCGAGCGGTAACCAGAAGGACACACCACATACGCGTACTGGTTCCTGTGCGTATTGGGCGGTGTTTACATGACTGAATTTATTCTCAATGTGCACAAACCCATAGCAATTTGTTGTGAGTCAACAGCTACGTGTTCAAATGTTCCGTAACTGTTGAAGGGTGGAGGGAGCTTGTATTTAATTCTCTCTACCTTTTTGACCAGGAGCTGATAGTACAAGCCAAGCATCCTAAGGACAGCGGAACCTACACAAGGATTCAGAGGCTCCTCGGTGAGCGTTACATGGGGACCGGTCTAGTCAGTGAGAGAGATCACAGCACTTGGGCTATCAGACGAGCTATCGTGGATCCTGCATTCCACCGAAAGTAAGCATTTGTGTTTTGTTCTCACAAGCCTCACAGGTCCTCACAAGTCCTCACAAGTCCTCACAAGTCCTCACAAGCATCACAAGCTAACAAAAGTCCTCACAAGCATCACAAGCTAACACAAGTCCTCACAAGCATCACAAGCTACCAAAAGTCCTCGCAAGCATCACAGGTCCGCACAAGTCCTCACAAGTCCTCACAAGCATCACAAGCTAACATAAGTCCTCACAAGCATCACAAGTCCTCACAAGCTAACACAAGTCCTCACAAGCATCACAAGCTAACAAAATCCTCACAAGCATCACAAGTCCTCACAAGCTAACACAAGTCCTCACAAGCATCACAAGCTAACAAAATCCTCACAAGCATCACAAGTCCTCACAAGCTAACACAAGTCCTCACAAGCATCGCAAGCTAACAAAAGTCTTCACAAGCATCACAAGTCCTCACAAGCATCACAATCTAACAAAAGTCCTCACAAGCATCACAAGTCCTCACAAGCATCACAAGTCCTCACAAGCTAACACAAGTCCTCACAAGCATCACAAGCTCACAAACGTCCTCCCAAGCATCACAAGTCCTCACAAGCTAACACAAGTCCTCACAAGCCCCATAAGTCTTCACAAGTCTTACGGGTCATCACAAGCCTCACAAGCCCATCACAATTAAGTCCTCACAAACTAACACAAGTCTATCACAAGTCCTCACAAGCCCGCCAAGTCATCACAAGCCTCACAAGTCCTCACACTTGAAACGGAGCGATTTATAGACTTTGGAGAATTGTAAGGTCAGAGAATCAGACCAGCAGGCTTGTACCCCTTCACATGTGTGTAATCAAATGCAAAGAAAACGCGGAATAACTAATTATGAAATATTAGGAACAGTTTTTGAAGAAGAAAAAACAGTTTTCTCCAACGCTGGTAAAAACGATTTTACAGGATGCTTCAGACTGTCATTCGCTAACAATCCAGTAACGTAATTCGTGATAATTTGGTCTTTTCGTTTTGTGATGTTTGCAAATGTTGTATCTTCCCTTTAAAAAAATTAAAATAAAACCGACACCACCTCTTGGCCTCCATTTGACTAGGTACCTGAAGCAGTCCATGACACAGTTCAACAGCAGCTCGGATTTGATGATCCAACGACTGCAGAGCAAGGCAGACGGCGCTACACAGGTCACATTACTGGATGAACTCAATAAAGTCACGCTGGATGTCATTGCTAAGGTATAGCCAGTCCAAATCCAAGTAGAAATGTTCAATTCTGCCAATTGGGATTTAATCGAGTATTATGTTGCTAACTGATATTTGTTGTTGAAGTGGAAGAAATTCTAAATGGGTCATTCTATAAAGTTAGGATCTGACGTGTGACCTTTTTTCTGTCGCTGTTACCGTGGTACTCCATTAAGAAGACTTAAATTTGTTTTAATGCTATGCTTGAAAATGCACCTTTGTGACCCCTTTAACTTCATTGTCAATTTTCGTTTTTGCCATTTTGAAAGGTATTTTCTTGCCGTTTTGGTGTATATGCTAATGCAAATTTCCGTATTCATGAGCAAAAGTGTGATGTCTTTCAGCTATTTCAGCGCAAAAAGTTGCAAGAATTTTGGATGGTTTGCTGTCATATATTTCTTTTCTTTGGTTATTTGTCGTTGTGTCAGTAAGCCAATGAGCAATCCTTTCTCAGATGTTTTTGTATATTTAGTTATTCCACACTTTCTTTGCAGTTGATTACACACCTGTGAAGGGGTATGAGACAGCTAGACTGATTCTCTGAACTTACAATCCCCCAAAGTCTATAAATCGCTCCGTTTCATCTTAAGTGCAGTCAGGGAACCAGACTACAAGAACATGATTGGTTTTCTTGGTTTTTCCAGCATCTACAACCCCAAAACGTGAAACAAGTCAGTTTAACAATATTTGCTATATCATACTTATCCTCCAAATCCATTTATCTCTGAAAATTGCAGCAACAGCAAATGTTGTACATTCCCTTTAATGTACGTGGCATACAATGTATATCTTTCCTAGGTGTCCTTCAGTTGTGAGCTGGACATCATGGTGGATGGACTGTCTCCGTTCACGGACGCTGTGCGTGTAACTCTTGATGCATTGGGGAACTTAAGTAGAGCACCATGGTTTGAGGTATTCACTTAAATATTCCAGTCACAAGTAAATAACAAGTCCAGACACAAGTAAATAACAAGTCCAGACACAAGTAACTCACAGGTCCAGACACAAGTAAATCACAAGTCCAGACACAAGTAAATTACAAATATAATAATCGGCCTTTAACCCCATGCGTACGGGAAGCGGTCATGGCTGCGGCCGCTAATCCTCATTGGAATGCAGTTGCCAGCTGTGCTATGCCGTGGCACACGGCTAGTGGGTAGTTCCACAGCTGCTGCTTTTGTGCAGTCCCGCTACCACACAAAGGCTGTGCAGTCATGCGGGCCACTTGCTCTATGTGTGGAGGAATGTCCCCATTACACCCCGTCCTTAAGGGGTTAAGAACGCTCTTATTAGTAAACTTAATCACAGCGCTTACAGTATTATTATTACCCCTGATCATTGGGCCAATTAAACATTCCAAATACCATCTCAGCTCCCTGGGGACTTTACAGCTGGATGCTGCCTGTTAGGCGCAAGCAAGCTAATTCAATAACAGTAACCATCTCTGCCCTCACAGGTACCTATTTACTTCTGGGTGGAGAGAAGCAATGAGTGACAAAGTGCCTTGCTCAAGGGCACACGCACCATGACCCCGGCTGGACTCGAACCCACAACCCGCAGCTTTACCCACAGACCACGAATCCAGTGCCCTTAACACGAGGCCACAGCACTCCACAAGTCCAGACACAAGTACATCACAAGTCCAGACACAAGTAAATCACAAGTCCAAACACAAGTAAATCACAAGTCCAGACACAAGTAAATCTTAAGTCCAGACTCAAGTAAATCACAAGTCCAACCACAAGTCCCGTCAAAAGTCCAGACACAAAGTAAATTTCAAGTACACTCACAAGTAAATGAAGAAGTACAGTCACAAGTAAATCACACGCCATTTCACAAATCCAGTCACAAGAAAGTCACTTCAGAAGTCACCTTGTTTATAGTACTGCAAATGCTTGACCATGCTTGTAAGCAAGGACCTACTGAGTCAGAAGAACAAATTTCAAATCCAATCTTGGATCATGACTGATGTGTACCGGTACACCATGCAATTTCTTTACCGTTAAAAACAACTTACAATGCTCCGTTATGAATTGAAGAAATATTCCCACATTTTTCACGTTTCTACAGTACAGCCCTGTGAAAGCTGACAGAGATAAGCGCAAGCAGATCCGGGATAGCTGCAAGCTGCTACGCCAATTTGGCGAGAAATGCATCCGTGAGCGTCTGGCGGCCGTCCAGCGAGGCGACGAGGTACCAGCTGATTCCCTGACCTACATCATCAACGCGACGGGACAGCTCACGCATGATTGCTACAGCGTGGAGAACATGGTGGACGACTTTGTTACCTTCTTTGTCGCAGGTATGGCCTGCAACAAAATCTAATCAATTCATCACCGACACCACGAAGTAACACTCTACCGTGTTAAACCATATTTTTTTTCGATTTCCAGTTTTTTGGATTTTTAAACATTATTCATCAAGGCCTACTATTGCACGAAGTTTCAAAGCTTCAAGAGCTTTACTTTAATAATTACGCTAAGTATCCATGGCAACTTTTGCGCAAAAGTGACAATTTTCGTTTTCACGAAGTAACACTCAAGTTCCATTTACCACTCTGCACAAATGCGAGCAAAAACGTTTTCACGAAGTAACACTCTTGTTGTTTGGGCGCGCGCGTGCTGACCTCCGTTTCCACGAAGTAACGCTCTTCTAGTGTTGTAATACATTAAAGCGTGCTACTTCGTGAAAACGAAATTTTACAGTTTCGCAGCTTTTTTGGTTTCACGAACTAGCACTCATCTTTTTTCTCTTATTTCTTGTTGTTTTAATACACAAACGGGTCAAAAACAGCAAATTTAATAACATCAATACATCAAGTGTCTACAACGAGAAACTCAACTGAAAATACTCTGTAGTTTTGACGCAAAGTGTTGTTCTAGAAGGCGTTCAACTTTAGATGCCGTTTTCTCCGATTGCTAATTTTTACCGGTATGTACATGAGTGTTACTTCGTGGTATCGGTGACGAATTTGTACTTGTACCAAGGACCACCCCTTAAAAAAAAAATTCATGAAAATCCGTCCAGAATTTTTTGGGTTATCCTGTTCACAGACAAACACACTAACCGACCAACCAACACACAAACCGACGTCGGTGAAAACATAACCTACTTAGCAGAAATAATAAGAGCAAATGTACTTCTTTTAGCTGGTACGAGTATGAGCACATTCGTTGGAGTATAACTGCAAGTAGGAGTATTAATTTTTTTAATTAAGTACGAGTACAAGTACTTAGACACTGCTGTTCACTGTTTTTCCTTATAGGCCAAGAAACCACAGCCAACCTTTTGACCAGCTGTATGCTGGAGCTTTTCCACAACCAGCCAGAAGTGTTGTACAGGTAATGAATTTTAATGTTTGTCAAAACCAAAACTGCTTACACACCTTAATCTAGGAAAAAAAGGATGCATCCAGAATCCATATCATTCAGTCATCTCGCAGTTTCGAAAAATATGTTTGTACGTGACGTGACGCAATGCAACGGAGATAACGGGTGAGCGCATATAGGGCATGTAGTCTTTCAAATATGTGCGCAGTATGCTCCGAATAGTACGCTCTGAATAGCCGGTCAGCGTCGTTTACGTATTCCTCACGGCCAGGGGTTAGTGAATGAACTGCGCCCATGGAGTCGAGGCTGCCTCGATTATTACAAATGCTAACTCGATTTGTAATAAAAAAAATAATAATCCATTTTATTTAATATTCATTTGCTGTTTTAGATAACAAGACGGCCCCATCAGAATGAAATCTGCAATTCTTAAGAGCTCTGTTCACGTACTTATTAGTTAAATATAACCATATGATTAAAAATTAATGACCATGGAAATACAAAATAAGTCTGGACTAAACAATTAAGATGCAAGTAATACAGGGTGAGTAAAAAAAAAACGAAACCCAAATGTCCGGACCGTTTTTGTAGTGAAGTTCTGCATGTAGCACTTTCAAAATCTAGGATATGAGAGCCCAATTCATAAGCTTTCGTTTAGTACAAGAAGCATTCGAATCACTTATGTACTTTTCAAGTTACGGAGTTTTAAACACAGCCGCCGTTTTAAGGTTCTGTCCACGGATCACAAAAAAAGTTCAGTGTTCTCTCAGCAACTAGAGAAAACAAATCACATAGGGATGTGTGTGAATTGTTTTCGTTTTGCTGAAAGAATACACACCTTTTGTGTGATCCGTGGACAGAACTTTAAAACGGTGGTTGCGTTTAAAACTCTGTAACTTGAAAAGGACATGTGTGATTTGAATGATTCTTGTACTAAAAGAAAGCTTATGAATTGGGCTTTCATATCCGAGATTTTGAAAGTATTACATGCAGAACTTCACTAAAACAATTGTCCCGACATTTGGGTTTCGTTTTTTTTTTTTACTCACCCTGTACATGTGAAAGGGAGAAGTAAAACTGGAAACTTTGCTTTTCAAAAATAATAAAAACTAAATTAATAGTCAGGTGCTCTCTAACCAACTTGCATCTTTTGTATGCTCCAGATTGAAGAACGAAGTGGAGAGTGTGATAGGGGACAAGAGTGACGTTGCATTTGAAGACCTACCCAAGCTGGAATACATGGCTGCGGTAAGTTCAGATCACTAATCTGTAAAGCTATCGGCAGTGGAAATGTCCTTCCACGGGAATATCAAGACCAATCTGAGAATGCTGTCAATTCTATCACGAAGGCCCCCTTCAGTGGCCGAAGCATTGTGCTAGCTATTGTTCAGATAATCCGTCACAGGGCAGTTTCTTTGTACAGTAGCGTGCTCATAGGTTTCTCAACTGAAAGGAGGCCTCGTTAAAGTGTCACTGCATCACGTGTTCGGATTCGTCCACAGTCCCCGTAAGGAGCAAACACTACCAATCCAGTAGCCGATTTCATGAAACTGGCATAACGTCTCCTTGTGGCATAAGTCTGGCATAATGTCTCCTGGGTGGCATGGGTGGCTTGTGCGTAAAGCGCTCGCCTCTCACCAAGGTGACCACGGTTCGAATCCTGGCCGCGGATCACATGTGAGTAGAGTTGTGCGTTGGTTCTCTCCTGTGCCACGAGGGTTTTTCTCCAGGCCCTCCGGTTCCCCCCCCCCCCCCCCGGAAAAATCAAACACTTTCGATTTCAGGCTGTGCTCCGTGGTCATATATGGGTCGATGTGACTGGCAGCCATAGGCACCTTTACGTGCCAGCGGCCCGACCACGTTGTAGCCACGTTGTAGTAAGGATGATTAGCCTCCCAAATTATTATTATAGTTATTATTATTATTATTATTTAAGTCCACTTGATAAGCTTTAAACTTGTAATGGTGCTTATTTCACATTTCTGATCGAAATGACGTCACAGTTTCTAAAGTGGTCTCCACTTTGCTGGTGCGCACGGAGTCGCGTACGATTTGCATGCTAGGATATATCAGACGTTCATTCGTGTGGCTCTGCACACGTGAATGTCTGCTCCTCAGACTAGACAAAAGACACCCCCACTAGCAATTTCACTTCAAAGTCTCTGGTCTTACTTGACCTTGCCAGGAATCCTTTTCTTTTCTTATACAGGTTTTGAAGGAGAGTTTGCGCCTTTTCCCACCAGCTGGGGGTACTGTCCGTCAGACAGCCGAAGAATGCTACATAAATGGCCAACGGATCCCTGCTGGTGCCACTACATTGGTAGGTACCAAGACGTACACGCACCTTACATTGTATGTCCTCACTTTAAAACATTAACACCTGTACTACATTTTATTACACTGTAGTACTTTGAATTACACTGTATTACATTGTAATACAGTGTATTACATTGTATTACACTGTATTACACTGTATCACATTGTATTACACTGTATTACATTGTATTACACTGTATTACACTGTATCACATTGTATTACACTGCATTACACTGTATTACACTGTATTACATTGTATTACACTGTATTACACTGTATCACATTGTATTACACTGTATCACATTGTATTACACTGTATTACATTGTATTACACTGTATTACATAGTATTAGATTGTATTACATTGTATTACATTGTATTACACTGTATTACATAGTATTAGATTGTATTAGATTGTATCACATTGTATTACACTGTATTACATTGTATTACATTGTATTACACTGTATTACATTGTTCCCTGATGAATCCATAAAACCACAGAGTGTTGGGGCGGTTTGGGTGCTACAGAGAAAGTAAGTTTGGGGTGCTACAGAGAAAGTTTGTGATGATAAAGAAAAACCTCTGGAATGATGAATCATTCATGGCAACATTATTATGTACCATTTTTGTACCACCATCTCCAACATATATGCCTTTTGGCGCACTGTTCACAGCGACAGCGCACTCTAGCTTCTTTTATGGGGTGCTGTGGTCCAATGATTACGGTGTTCGACTCGTGTGGCGTGGTACATGGGTTCGAATCCTGACCGTGGGACATGGTGCTTGTGCTCCTGAGCAAGGCACTTTACCATTATTGCTTCGTCCTTCGGATGGGATGTAAAATAACCCAGTAACACTTATTGCTAAGAGAAGGGGTTTGCCCCGGTGTTTCTGGCAGTGGCTGCAATATGCGCCGCAGCACCTTGTAAACCCTTATAAGGTGCTACATAATGGGTCTCATATTTCTCATAAACTTCATTTACCTTTCTTTAATAATAGACATAATTTCCAGCGCCTTGAGTACCTAATTGTTGGTAGATACGTGCACTATATAAGACTCCGGCATTATTATTATTGTTTTTTTGATACACCCCGTATAACGTACTGACTGAGACCAACAGCAAGAAATTGACACCGAAAATGAACTTTTGGTTTTATTTTATGTAGGTGTCCATTTACGTCATCGGACGCATGGAGGAACACTACAAAGATGCCACAGTGTTTGACCCGGACCGCTTCATGCAGCAAGATGAACAGTGAGTGTCGTAGCGCCCTCTGTTGGCATCAATCAGACAGTGACAGGCAACTAATCAAACACAACTTTTCACTGGACAGAGATCAGACTTTCCAACCACTGTTTTTTTTTTTACAAAAACTAGTTCAACTTATATGAAGACTGTTTTTCTCAAACATTTAAATAGCAATACAACTTGAAATAGTACAAATGTTTTCAATCCTTGAAGGTAGGATGTAGCATTTGTCATTTGCTTCTTTTTTTTTCGTTTTAAGCAACAAATGTGCTCAAAATCTCAAGATAGTTGCTTAACAATTAAACTAACATGATGAAGTTTTAGCTCTGTGAATGTTTTATTTCTTTGAGAAAATACAATATTCTGGATCTCATTTTCAAATTGAAAGTCATATTTTGAATTGCGCCCTCTCGTGACACCATCCTGAAATCAGCATTGGGACATGATTCTCATTCAGTCGATTGTAGCTACATCATGCGTCACACACTGAACCGACACATTCTAGAAACTGCACGTTCGTGTGTCAACGCTTGCAGTTTCACAGATTTGCCCAGTTAAAAATCAAATGTGATGCGATCAAGCTACATGAGTCGTTTGTCGACCCTGGTCAAAGAATGTTTTATTACATATTTGAAAAGAGCACAATCTCAGCATTACTGCCTCGAAACCGCATGCTGATACCATCTTTAGTTAAACAATTATGGGAGTTGGAACACCAAGAGATGTGATGTGATTAAGTGGCCCTATTTTGGCCTGTATCTCCAAATAAAAATTCCCAACAAACGACTCATTTAGCTTGATCGCATTACAAATGCATACAGAATTTTCCAAAAATGTGTTACTTGACACATCATTGGAAATGACCTTTGGCTTCTTTTATAGTTTTCTTCCAAATGACGGCATCCCAGAAAGAATAATTTCACAGGGAGTTTAGTGGCATTACTATCTTTAAACCAAGTAAGCTTTTATGCAATAATGTGGTCGGTTACTTTTTTGAATAGCTGCAAATGGTCCACTCCACCTTTAAACATTCCCAAATCACTTACAGAATGGACAAGTAAATTGTTAAATTTTGACACCATTTTATTTCCAACTTATCTCTTTCCTTGTTCCCTCTGCAGTGTTCTCTTTACATTTCTTCCCTTCTCCCTGGGCCCAAGGATGTGCATCGGCAAGAATTTTGCACTGGTAAGATTTTCTTCTCAAATTAACAAACTTAGGTTACTTAAAGTCAAGGAAAGAGATTTAAAGATAAAATGTTTTACAAGAAGAGACTGGTTCTTAAAGGGCCCATGTAATGGATTTTTTTTTCAAAATGCAATCCTTGAAACGTGTACCTTTGTGTTCCATTTATGTGTAACTGTATTTGTAATCTTCATATTGCCATTTTAAGGGCATTGTGGTGCATTTTTCATTCTTGTTGTGGCAAATATTACTTGTTATGTGAACGTAGTATAGCCGAGCTTACGCATGAAGTCAGAAGCAAGCTTGTGCCCGTTAGCAGATGCCATTTATTTCCCAGCAGTCCTAACCATCGCAATTCCTCTTTTTTTGAGAATGAAGCTAACCTGGTATAAGATGGAATTTTGCGTCGGGGTGATATAAATCAAATTAGGTTTTTGCCCTTCACCGACATTTAAACAATGTATACTCAGTGTGTTACCTCCCGAGCGAAAGTTGGAAAAAATCAATCGGGTGGGACTCAAACCCACGACCTCCTGCTTTCTAGTGCAGATGTCTTACCATTCGACCACCGAGCTAACGGGATCGGTTGGCTGGTTCGAATCTGATGTTCATAGCAGCGGGTACCGCATAAACTATTATAAGATGGAATTTTGCGTCGGGGTGATATAAATCAAATTAGGTTTTTGCCCTTCACTAACGTTTAAACACTGTATACTCAGTGTGTTACCTCCCGAGTGAAAGTTGGAAGAATCACTCGGGTGGGACTCAAACCCACGACCTCCTGCTTACCTGGTGCTATGATTTCATTGGAAGCTTGAAATGACATGTATTATTTTCTTTTAATCAAGCAGGCATTTCCATAATGTTTCAGCAGTTTAGTTTTCGAATGTTTGCAAATGGTATACAATTCCTTCAGAAGAAATGTAAATTATTTCTTTTGTTTCCTCAGATTGAGGCCAAAGTTCTGCTGTGTAAACTCCTGACCAACTTTGACTTCAGCCTGGTTCCGGACCAGTCATTTGACATGGCCACCATTGGAACATTGCGTCCAAAAGATGGCTGTAAAGTCACGCTCAAACCAAAGAGTACTTAGGTGGATCAAAGCTGTGTTCCCTTTTGACTTTCTTTGGTTCACTTACTGTGACTTTCTTGCAGAATGACAAAATTAAGTTGACCTCCCTGTCAACTTACCGCGACTGTGATGTAAAATTACCAGACTGAAAGTGGTCATGGTAAGTTATCAGGGACATTCTGCCAGTTACTCACATTGAATAAATGTTCCGTCGGTGTTTAGAAAAGTCCGAGTGGGAACGCACGGTAGACTTACGCAAAGGAATGTTGCAGTAAGTTTCTGGGCAAGATTACCATATGCGAAGTTCACTAATTTTCCTCTGTATTGACTATTACAAGCCCCCAGATTGCAATTTCATGTCATCAAAGTCAATTTGAGCAGTGAGAAAATACAAGCATTTTCTTAGAAAACACTTAGAATTTTTCAGTCCAATCTCATAGGGTTTGTACACAGGGTGTTGAGTGAACTTCGTATATGGAAATCTTTCCAGTTTCTGCATGGCCGTGGAAAAGAAAAGTCCAATGGAACATGGCTATAGGTGGAGGGGCGTGGTTCTGGGACAAAAAGGGGAGGGGGGCATAGACAACAGATAGCATCTGGAATTACCATGAGATCATATATACTCAAGAGAAATGTGGTGGAAATGAATTTAGGCAGAGCTGGATTTAGGGGCGTGGCTAAATAGAATGCGCAATTTTTGTTCAAAGCCTGCACTTGAAATTCAAAATCCAAGTTTAATACTTTATTCAAGCACAAATGTAAAGTGCTTGATGTTATCAGAATGCAAAAATGAAATAAACACATTTTTTTTTCACAACAAAACTTATACATTTATTCTAAACATAAAACCACAAATTCCAAAAAATTCCTGAAAGTATAACTGATTGTATGATAGTTTTAAAATACCGCTATTTTTAAACAATAGTGTGTTGTATTTTTATTACAGTACTTGAAATTACCATATTTCTACTTTTCTAATGTACTGATATATTTGTTTTTTGTATCAACTATTTCGCTTAATTTTGTACAAAGTGTGTATTCAAAATCTGAGTTTATTATTATCAGGCATGCAACTTCTCCTCGAATCAGCTTATTTCCTCTTTTTTTACTTCCCATGTGTCCCATTGAAAATAGAAAAACACTGTACAAAGTCCGGGACAAATTTGGATTTCCTCTTTTTTTCTGATTTCCCAGTTGAATGCCTGTATTATGCTACATGTATGTTATTCAGGCAAAAATGTAAAGTACTTTTTACAGGAATGCAACTTTTTTTTTAAATATTCACATTTATGCACTAAAGAATATATATTCCAAACATTGTAAAAAAAAAAATACAGATACTAAAACATTGTGATCGTTTAAGTAATTGTAAATGACTTATGTGCTTATAAAAATAGGATTGCATAAAATGAATTCCAGACTTGAATTGACAACTGTAGGCAAATATGTTAACGTCTTAAAGTTGATCAAATTAGGTATCTGCCCTTCACTGATGTATAAACACTGTATACTCAGTGTGTTACCTCCCGAGTGAAAGTTGGAAAAAATCACCCGGTGGGGACTCGGACCCAGACCCACGACCGCCTGCTTTGTAGTGCAGACGTCTTACCACTCGACCACCGAGCTAACAGGATTGGTTGGCTGGTTCGAATCTGATGTACATATAGCAGCGGGTACCGCATTAACTATTCGTAAGGCCAAAAAAAAAGTCTCCGGTTTCTGGTATGGAGCTTGTCCAAAAAGTGGTGCGGCGACGCGGCTTTTTTTTTTTTTTACCCGACTTTTTTGCTTCAAATTTGCTTCAAATGTCGGCTGATGACTGCAAATGGTGCCCGACTAAACTTAGTGCAAATATATGGGAGTCCAGAGAGGCCACATAAAGCTTATTCTCGATCATAACCCCATCTAAAAACCAAGGGCGGATCCAGAACACAATTTTTGGGGGGGCCAAAAAAATTTTTGGTCCCCCCAAAAAGTTGGTAAAAAAAATTACGGCGTGGGGTTCGGGGCCCGCTTAAGGGCCCCGAATTTTTTTTGGATTCTAGATGCTCTGTGGTGCGATCTGAGGCAATTTCTGACCACTTTAACCAATGTTTTTTTGAGGAAAAGATGGTGGTGTACTCATTGCCTGCCTTTATTGCGATGTCACATAAAAAAAAAAAAAAATTGGTTTCGTTTTGGGGGGGGGCCATGGCCCCCTTTGGCCCCCCCCCCCCTGGATCCGCCCTTGCTAAAAACACGTTGAAATTGCGCAGCAGCAGAATTCCAGTCAAACCAGTGAGTTTGGCGGTTTTGAGACATCATCTTTCATTGAAAAAAAAAAACGTTTTCATTTTGCCGACGCGCATGGCTACGGCGACGCGCGCGCATACCAGAAACCGGAGACTTTTTTTTTGGCCTAAGATGGAATTGTTGCATCCGGATGATGTAAATCAAATTAGGATGATGTAAACCTAATTTGATTCACATCATCCCGACGCAACTATTCCATCATAAAGTTGGTATAACGGGCCTATATGTCCTTTTTGGGTGTGGCATTTCGAAAAATGGATTTTCAAATTGAATTGATAGGCATTACATTAGTTATGAGCTTTCCAATGAGATATCGCATGAAAAAAAAATCGACCGACGATTATAAGTAACCATTTCATTAGTTTGAACTTTTGAAATAGGAGCATCCTGCTTCTAAATCATTTCTAGCTGGGGCATAACTGCATTTCATATATGGCTTATTCAAAGCCAATGTTTAATAAGAAGAGCCCTCATAACTTAAGGGATCATAAATGACTTTGTGTGAGCAATAAATATACAGTCGAGTCTCGTTAATACAAACTCGTTCGGACCTAGCGAAATTGTTTGTTATATCAGAATTTTGTATAAAGGGGAATATCAGTCCCATTCATTGTGCACATACATGCACAGTCAGGACCAAGGCTTTATGTTTGTTATAACCAGAATTTGTATTAATAGAGTTTGTACTAATGAGAGTCGACTGTACATCAGCAACAAATTGCTGCTGAGTTCAGATTGTTTTGGGTTCATGAGAATTTGTGTAAGTTGAATTCACATTTTAGAAGATGCTAAATGCATCCTGCTGATCCTGCTTGCTACCTTTAGTATTTGTGATTCTATATGCTGCATACTGATATAGTCTCAATCGTGAGACCAGCAAAATACCAAGGCCCGCCTTCAATGTCCAAGATATGTGGTACCAACTGAGACAGAGACACCATCTTTCAGTGGGGGCGCGCTGTTCAAAACCAAATTCACGGTCATGTTTAGGTATGGATATCGCTTTACGCATTCCACGGGACATTAAAATAAACAGCCAATCGCAAAAAAAACAAAAAAAAACTAGAGGTTCGCGTTTGTTGTTACAAACGCAGAGTGGTCGGGTAGACAACCATTTCATTAGATATTGTCCAATTAAGTTATGAATATGTTTATGTCAGAAAAAAAGGACCAAGAACTTCAACATTTCCAGTACCAATTATTTTTTACAAAAATAATGCGTCTTTTAAGGTGTGATAAATTTCAGTAAACAGTTTGAGTACAAGTTATTTCCGGTTTGATGGCGTCATCAGTCAAAACAGGGAAGGGAGGACACTTGTTAATCATTAAGTAAAAATAACGCATGGAAATATGGAAATTAAGTGTATGTAATAATAACAGCTAACTTCCAGTTTGATGACGTCACAGTATTTGGAAGCAAAAGGTCAATATAAAGTGTAACAGATGTCATTTTTTTTTGGGGGGGGGGCAAAAAACAAAGTCATGAGACAGGGATCAAATGATGGATTTAACTTAACACATAAAATGGTCATTGTTGAATTCTCCCTACAGTAACTTCCGGTCTGATGACGTCATGATTATGAAACCTTGCAAATTCATTTGTGGTTGCTCACGGGATATATAGGGGCAATTATATCATAAAAATTTGATTGAGGGTTTTAACATTTTAAAAGATTAAACTGTTTTCCATGTACCGCTGGAGGGCGCCCTTTCGTGGATGACGTCAAAATAATGTTTTTGTGATTGGCATTCCTCACTTAACACTTCCATAATGTATTTGTCTGTACGGAAATGCTTCCGTTTTAGAGTTAGATTCAGTTTCTATTGCACTTCCGGTAACACCGGAAGTAAAGGTCAAGCAGTTTTGTGCCCGGGAATAATAAATGTTGCTCAAGGCACCGTCTACAACCTCACGAAAAAACGAACACGATACCCTATTTAGTTCAAGAGATATAGGTCAAAGTATTTTGTCAAATCGTGCAATCATATCGCTTGTAATTTGATACCTGATGACGTCATGATGACGTAACAACAGTTATACTATCTTCGTAACATGGTACAAGTTCACAGTAGGTTTTATGATCATACCGTAAACCGTGTGGAAGAAATTGTGCTTTGTTTTGATTTCAGGCTAAAGTCTTCATTTTCAATTCACGTAACTTTGACCTTCCGGTGGACCCGGAAGTAAAGGTCAAGCGAGTTCACGTACACGACAAAAAGTGTTGATCACCTAATGGTCTATCTGATTACAAAGTTGGAACATATTTGATCATTTTGTTTAAGAGTTATAGATGAAAGTATTTGGCCCTTTTTTCCTCTAAAATCGCGTGTAATTTGACACCCGATGACGTAATCGTGACGTCAGAGTAATATGCACCACTTCGGATGAGGGTCGATATATATTGAAAGTTACAAGTTCATACCATATACCGTTTAAGAGAAAACCCGCGGAGAAGTATTGTCCGGAAAAAAAAAGAAAGAAAGAAAGAAAGATTAATCGTAACAGATCCAAAGAGTGGTCGGGTTGTGCCCGACCACTCAAAAACAGGGTTTTTGCCAAAAATAAATTTAAAATGTGAAAAAAGGCACTTTATGTAAAACTGGCTAAGTATAGTTTCGTGATATTTTTGCCAATTTTTTCTTTTATGGGGACCCCCCCCCCCCCCGCCCTGCCATTTTTTTCTGTGCAGTCTGAACACCTGTGAGAGTTCTGAGTTAAAAAAAAAAAATTAAAGTTTGGGGATTTATCACTGATGTCCATGGGAATTTATTTACTTGGTTGCCCAAAATATCATACACCCTCAAAAATGTGCCCCCTTTCATTTCAGCGCACGCACGTGCCATTGTAATTATGTCTAACGTAAGAGGGCGCTCGGCGTCTCCCGCGCTATATTTTAGCCATGAAAACTGTCGGACAAAGATTTAGAGAGGGGGGGGGGGGGAGGCTTTGAAAAATTTGGGTGATGACTGATCAACAACAGATATGAAAAGGTTATTTAAAATATGAATTTCGTATCTTTTTAGAGTTTTTCTTTTCTCTTCAACTGTTAAAAGAAAGGCTTTTTTACGTACAAAAAAATGTTTGTGGAATTTTGGGCAACTCATTTATAGATTTATGAGTTAATAAAAAAAATCGAGTATTTTTGATAGTTGATCATTTTTAGAATCATAAGTTTGTGTTTTTGTTTTGTTTGCCTTATTTTTCCTTTGGTTTCTTGTTCATATTTTCCAAGCCTTTTAAAATAATGACTCTCATAAAATGTTGGCGCGGCAGTGCAGTAAATGAATGTAGTGCGCGATATGCATGATACGCCCTCAAAATAAAGATGCAGAAATTGCGCCCATTATATTTGTCTGGTTCCTGTCTCAACGTAGGTCTCAGCGCCTCGTATTCAAAGACGTGTGAGATGTACACATGTACATGTCCATGGGTCGAACATGTACATGTGTACATTGTATTGGACATCACACACATGTGCATGCAAACAACATGTTGTTTTCAGACTGAACTTCAGTCTCGGCTAAAATTGAATGCGTCCGCTAAGAGAAATAGTGCCGACTATAAATAATGAAATGAATTTTAATCGCCGGTCTGAGCGTGAATGAATTAAATCGGCACTGAATAAACTCATTTTAATACATATGAGAATTTGGAGGGAAAAATTCCAGAATTTAGAGGTGATTTTTGCTTGAGCGGCGTGATCTAATTTGGGCACTGCGGTTTTATTTACCTATCTAGCGTTCATGGCGGTTCGAGTGCACCAGGCTAGACGTCTAAAAATGTAAATTGTCTGAGACGGTAATTATCGTGGAATATACCTGAAAAATCGCGTTCAAACGCAGGAAATTACAAATGAGAAGGTAGGACAGTATGCGTGTCGCCCTTGTATCATTTCTGTAAAATTTGGTTGCATTTGGGGGATTTTTTTCAAGTGCATTTAGACCAATGAATTCGACTGTAGCAGTACGCTAGTATGGGAAAACCGTTGTGGGTTTTGGTCCGCATTGTTTTGTGTGTGTGTACGGCGCGGACTGCGGCTGCCTAGTGCATTGCAAGGCATATCCGCATGTGCACGAGAAAATGGGTAGGCGGGTTACATCATTTAAACAGCATAACAAATTGTCAATGAGAAGATTGCTGAAAATGTGTGAAGTTTTGGAAAGAATGTAATCCAGACGGTCGACGGTACCTCTTTGCCCAGGGCCGAGTGCATTTTAAAAGTATTTTCTAGTTAGTAACAAAATTGGAAACGGTTCTCATGTCTTTTCAACGTGTGTTCTAAATCTAGGCCCTAATCTTATTCCTCCATGGTTCAACATTTGGTTTTGTAATGACATGAATGACTGACCTTCATGATGAAAAAATTGGTGTAACTAAGGATGCAACATTCTTTCCAAATTCTATGTGTCTGTTTTAGTTAAAATACTAGGCGGGCCTACCGGTCATGCCGGTACGGTAGGAGTTTAATTAAGAAAAAAAATGCAACAGAAATAGGCCTAAGCATGCTAAGCAAACGTTACTTGTGTTCTTCGTTTTTGTTATTTTGGAAAATTTGATTTTTTAATTGGAAAAAAGTCGGTCTATTGCAAAACAACAATTTCATGAAAACGATATTGATAAATTTAGAGATAATTGTCTTGCTGAATTGAGATATTTTTGAATTCTTCCTTGAAAATTTGAAACCAATTTTGGATTGTACATTTATCATGTTCCTACATCATGTACCTTATGTAGGCCTATATCACATAACATGGCCTAGAAATGGCCTGACCAACATGTGGTCAAAAACAAGTTGTCCACCTTCCGCAAACTAATTTTAGTAAACGACATAACCATTGCACTGAGGTGTTTTTTTTTAATTTGGAAGTGAAATACAAACTAATGACAGGTACATTTTATGAGAGCGGAATTGTAACGTGCACAACAACAGGCTCTATAACCTACTCATAAGTTCCAAATAGCTCGTGTATGTAGCAGCCGTGTTAAACTTAAAGGGTGATGCCTTTGTTTGGCTGTAATGCATGAGTGAACATTGTGTGCCTTCATTGTTACTGAGCTAAACCCATCATTGACAGGCACTAGCCAGTGCTGACCCACCACATCTATCAATGTCAGTCAAGGCATGGTACCCATAGTTAACATACCTACATGTACAATGTACCACAGCTCGTCAATTGTACCAATATGAGGCCAGTTTACAGACCTGTTAAAACCTGTCACCTGATAGATTTTGACTTACGGTGCTCTGTCTAGAGATTGTCACTGAGAGAGGGAAGTGTTAATGATAAACATAGAGTACCGATTGTCACAGCTGTCAGAAGTTTTGAGAACATTTTGATGTTCATGTACGTGGTTGTTTCTGTTCAAATTTGTGCAGTGCGTTTGACCAAATATGAGCCAGGATTATACGGAGACTAACGAGAATACTCCCCCACCCTCATCACCAGAACTGCAGTCGGAAGAGAGGCCGAAAGCACCCGTAAGTATTTCGGTATGTACAATCCTGGCCAAATCTTGCTGGGCCCCCCACCCCCGGCCCCCGGTCAGTGTTGTCTCTCATTGTGCAGTGTGTGCTCCATCAGCTGGAGAGAACAACATTGACCAGGGGAGTGGGTGACCGTGGGAGGCTAAGGTTATTTCCAAGTGTCCCAACCATTTTGGCCGGGATTGAAGTCTGCATCCTAAACTTCCAATTTTATGTAATGCAGGTGCTTTCAATGTTGATAATTTTCGCTGGTACAATGATTTAACTGCAGGAATATTTTTCTCCTGTGGTATATTGTGAACTCTGTGCGGGAACTTTAGAGGGCGCTTTTTTTTTACGGCATTCGAAAGCTCCAGCTGGAGGAATACACTGCGTGCGTGCACTGGTTTCTGCACATATGCGAGCTGCGAGAAGTATGCGCCGCTAAATCTAAATCTCTGATAGTACAGGCGCGACGACAAATATACTTGAATGTCTGTTTGAGTGTCTCCCCAAACTCTCCCTTTGTAACCGTTAACCCTAACCGCCCTGAGTCCTCCAAAATCCTTTTTGCAAATTGGAGGAATTTGCAGGATTGAGGTTACATGGCCAAAGTGCGTTGCTGATTTCGGAGTACGCACTGTGTCAAGGTCTTGGGCCGGACCTTGTGTTTATGCTCATCCGTGCATAAATTTAGTCCTTGATTATACTTGACATCCTCCGCACTGTTCTAGGATGTCACTGCTCCTCTGCCTCAGCCTATTGACAGTCATAGCCGGAGGATTTTGCAGGATTCAGGCAGTGGTCACCCCTCCATGGACCATATTCAAGAAATAGCGGAGGAATTTGCAGGATTGAGGCTATATGCTATTTTTCCATGAGGCCAATTGGACGATTTTGCAGGATTGAGGCTACATCCTAGCAAAAAGGCCTAGGGAGTTACGGTTAAAAAACACAGTTTCTTGCCTTGGTTTGAGGTGTGTGAATTTCACACGGCACACCCATTTTATTTTTTCAATAAAGTGAGACCGATTCAAAATGAAAGTGATCTAATCATCACCAATTTGCCATGCTACACAAAAATAGCGCAAATTATTGATGTAGCTTACAATCCGGTTCAGTTTCAATTTCGTCAAATTTGCTTCACGGAACATGTTGTTTTTAATTTGTTTAATTTATTTGGTTTGGGTCAAAACACCATGGTGTGGGGTTTATTAAATTGGTCTATTTCTGTGTCGAATTTTATTCTCTACATTCCACTTATTCCATATCGATCTATTCATAAATGTCGTTCATTATTTATTTGCAGGAACCTGACGTAACCCAGTCTGCTCAATCGACGCAGCAATCCCAAGCTCCCAAACCTTCCAGTTCCCCCAAGCGAACCCAATCTCAACCCGCCAAAATGCAGAGGGTTACCATCTTGTTGCTTGACGACACAAAGTTTGAATGCGACGTTGAGGTGAGCCAAAAAAAAAATATCTAAATTAACAACTAAATATATAACCAAAAAGCAAAGATCCTTATATTGTAGGGATTTCGACATAATTAAACGGAAAAATTATGTATTTAAACAGTTTAATCTTAGCTTCTATACATCAAACTTTTCTTGAGTGTAACAAAAATTTAATACAGTGGGATGAACAAATACATGTAGGATATTCTTTGTGCCGAAACTCACAACAAAATGTTATCATCTGGCCCCTTGGAAAGTTTTAGCGGCTGTGCTGTACCCATCAAGACTCCTGAGCCTTTGTATGGATTTTCTACTTCTTTGAACTGGTTATGGTCAGGGGTGTGAAATCTCAGCTTTAAAGCTGATTTCAGCTTTTTTGTTTTGGATTTCAGCTTTTTTCCTTCACTTGCTGTGTACAAAAGTATAGGAGATTTCCAAAGTTCAGCTGTTTTTACACCTTTTTCAGCTGTTTTCAGCTATTTTTATTAGCGGTCACTCACACCCCTGTATGGTTTTAATTTTTTGAAAGAAAATTTGAAATTGTTTAATTGTTTAACGATTGCTGTTTACATGTGTCTACTGAACATCTGAAATAGTAAAAATAGAACATGTTTAGAATGCGATCAAGAGTTTGAACAATTGCAGAAAATTTTCCAGGCTCCAAACTTGTTAGTACGGAGAAAACCAAAGTGTATACCACACAGCACAGGACTTGCTGTGTTGAATTAGTTGCATACAATGTAACGTGTAGCTACTGGTACATGTTTTGCTTGACTGGTACAGTGATAGTTGATGCAGCCTGGGCCTCCTCTTCATTGTGTCTAGACATTGTATAGCAGGCTCACAATGGCTCATAGTGGTTGACTCTGTAAATGGGCTTTGGTGTCTCAGCAGCATTGCTCCTATGGGAACTCTAAAAGCAATTACCCTACATTGTAGCTATGCCTAATGGCTGTTACTACAATAGAAATGATTTGCATATGTTACTGGGCCCAGTATAAATGTCTTTAGAAATAAGAAGAGCCTTGTGGTTTGGTTTTGTGAGAATTTCTGTTTCCCTAAACTAAGGCGCTCACTCTGAGTAATTTAATGCACAAATATTGCACAACGGCCTATGCATCAGTATCATTGAGTTTCATATAAATTTAACAGGCAAAAATGTAACAGATGTCAGAACATAAAGATCGTTTAATTAAACACATGTTTTTGAACTTAACCCATACCTGAATGTGGCTGGTCCGTGGTAAGAATTCTCCCCAGTGCTGTTACCCTGGCCCAAATTCATACCAAGATAGCCACTAAGTTGGGGAACTTTAAAAACTTCATTGTTGTTCCATTAAAATCTGCTACGCGTAATAAATTGCACTGTGATAAACAAATGTAAATATCAGCTGAATTATGAAACACGTACTCCATCTTACAAACTAAAATTATTTGTTAGAGAAATTTTTTTTTAATAATAATAAAAAATATAGTGCAAACTTTACTAACATGGTTAAAAAATTACAATAATTCTGCACACATACATTTGTACGTGTAGTGCATACGGCAAAGAAATGTGGGCCATGCTTTTTCTCCTGCAAAGCCAACTTTGTGTAGATTGTTATGAAAACCTTGACCCACATCAAACCAGGATCGTCATACAGCCATCTTGAGTAAACAGACCTGTAGCCCACACACTGTCTGGTCTGCCTCGAACAAGTCAGTCCGCTAAAAAAAACCTCATCTCGTTACTGTTGACTTAGCCTGTGGAGCACATGAAATCAATCAAACAAAGCGACTGTGGGGGCCACATTAATGTGCAAGCACGCCCCAAAAACCCTGGCGTCGCTTGTAGTCCCATCGGGTTTTCCATGTTTTGTTCAGTCCAGCTGCGCTGTGCCAATTTCAAAAGTGACTGAATGCGGGCGTTGCATTACAAGGTGTTGATAGCAACGATCAGTACTATCTGTGTCTAAAAATACCCAGGCGTTGTCGTTATTGAGGCTTCGCTTGTGAATGGTCGGCATTAACCCAAATGATGTCCAGACACAGCTGTTGTGTTATGTTGTATTGGTTTTGTTCTCTTGTTCTTTTCACAGACTACACATGTGCAACGTACAGTGTGTGTGAATCCTGGTTTGAAAATGTCCCGTTGTTATTGCGCAAGGGAGCACAGTCAATATATATACAAGTGTATTGTGCTTACTTTCTCATTGTTAAACCATTTTATTGAATGTGGCTTAGTTTTAGGGAAGTCTGGAAGACCTGAATTTGTAATTTAGGACTAGGTTTATTTCTCTCAAAAAGAAAAATATAGAGGGGCACTGAACATTTTGTCAACATCATTAAGTCCTTTTATCTAAAATAAACAAACAATATCACTACATTTAATCAAAACTGTACTAAAGAATGAAATTACTCTCATTGATTATATTTAGGCATTATATTACATGTTTACCATACATACAAAACATGCAGTTTGCATTGAACGCCAATAAAATGGGCATTCTCCGAGCCTGCGTAAACAGTTTTCTTCGTTATTCATCAGTGCAGAAACATTGTGTTACAACTTACAACCTTAATTAATCTTAGTACTCGACACAGGCTGCAAGATTTACGAACAAGTTGACGCAACCTTTTACCATCCACAACCCGCACGTGTAGCAAATTACTGTATTTTGTCTCATTCAAAAAATATCAGCGTGATTAACATCAATCTTATCACTATCAGCCAATTTCACAATTCACACACCCCACGCTGCACTAGTGCTTGATACTCTGCAAATAGTCCATTGGGGTCAACAGACTTTACACACAGAAAATGTTCATGCATATTATGGCTCATAAATTTTTAGCACCAGTGTTTTATTGATGAGAACATTGTGAATATAAAACAAAACAAATCCACATTTTAATTTTTGGCCTTGTTCAATTATGCATTGCTTAGTACACCAACCAAATACGTCAGAAAATAATATGTGTACAGTACATGCGGTCACAGTGTAAATATCCTGGGCCTGTAGTGTTGTGCAATATTACTGCATTTTATAGGCCTTTGTCTGCAGGCACAAAGGTTGGACAAATAGTCGGCCAGGGTTGTTCAATGGACAAGGTCAACGATGCATAAAGGTCAAATCATTGACACAATAATTGGACAGACTGTACTTCTTTCAGTGGGCAAACCAACCTACCATTGTGATTCAATGCTAGTATTTGCTTTGCCCAAACAAAGGTTGTGCCGTTCCCAAATTGCAACTTGTAACATCCGAGTTGTCCTTTTAAAAAAAGTTATTTACAAAATTGGAATATTTTCTGAATACCCACGTACATTTCGGCTATTATTATACACTACATGTATGTACAAATTCTCATTCAAAAAGGTTAACAAAGTTATATGGTTTCTGTGAAGAATCCAGTGAAGCAAAATCTTAATCTCAACTGTAATAACTTCCTGTTTTCAAAACTCGGAGAACAATCTCTGAATAATATTCACTTATAAATATTTCAGCAAATATATTTCACTTTTAGTATAATATTTCTGAATCATGACACAAATCACAAATATTCATTTCCAAAGCATCAACATTTTAAAAAAAAAACTGTATGGTCTATGCGGAGAATGCAGCATGACAAAAAGTTACCGGTAATTGTAATGTCACAACTGTCCTGCTGAATATATTTTTGCATACAAAATCAGAAAATTGTCTGAGAATCTGAATTTATCCACCTAATATTCACAAACTTCATTTCACATGTAGTAAAATATTTCTAAATTATGCACAAATCGCAAATGTCCATTCCAAAACGTCAAAAAGCTGTACTGCTTATGCATCGGATCATGCACGGCAAAAAGTTAATTACATGAAAGCTGTCTTGTCGCTAGCATTTAAAAAATGTATACGGTATGTAGATCCCTAGATTAAAATGCGCTACAGATGCGCTTATGCATGTCAGTGCTAGCCATGGCTTTGAAGTGTGCATAGCGTATGTGGATTATGTACTCTAAATAACGACCAGACTTGGCCATTTAACCTTTAGCATTTTGGGATTGTCAATACCGATCTGTGTGTGGAGGCCGATGTTTTATGTCTGCCAGACATCATTGGATTGGCATCAAGGTCGCAAAATTCTGGGTTATTTTTTTATTTATTGTCTGCAATGTATTCGACATGTTATTTTTAATTAAGAAAACGTAAGCGTAAGAGGGCCCAACATTCCTATAAGAATATTTCTTGTATTTTAAATTGAAGCCTAACTGTGCTGAATCCAACAGGATCCAACTACATGTATGTCATATACCGGGGTGGGGGGGGGGGGGGGTAATGATGCTCTTCAATGTCATGCAATTTGGAAATAGCATGGACAATACATGTATTTGAAATATACACGGTTTGCAGAATCATACATTTTTGATTTCTGTATATTTTTTACATTTTTATAAAATTTTCAGCAAGTCGCGGACATTTTGTAATGATGGTATTTTTTTTTCCTTTTTTCCAGAAACGTGGCAAGGGTCAGGCCATTCTTGACAAGGCATGTCAACATTTGGACCTGATGGAGAAAGACTACTTCGGTTTGGTCTACAAAGACAACCAGGATGCAAGGGTAAGCGTTTTCAATCAATTTAGTGTTTGATTCATTGAACTTGGACTTTATCAAATATTCAAAGATTTTTCGAAATGCGCTGATTAAGTATGACTTTCTTGTATGGCTGGATAGATATTTCACGGGCCGTATTATAAGTCTGACGCCTCATAGGTCCGACTCCTCATAAGTCCGAAATTTCGGACTTATGAGGCGTCGGACTTATGAGGCATAAAATTTATTTATTCCGCTTCATAGGTCCGACGCCTCATAAGTCCGACGCCTCATAAGTCCGACAACGGAAAAACGACAACGGAAAAACGAGGCGTTTAATTTGTCGGACTTACGAAGCGTCGGAGCTATGAGGCGTTGGACCTATGAGGCGTCGGACTTATGAAGCGTCGGACCTTTGAGGCTTTGGACTTATGGGCCTTTATTTGGTTAGGGGATGCGATTCTGTCGGACCTATGAGGCGTCGGACCTATGAGGCGTCGGACCTATGAGGCGTTGGACTTATGAGCGGACCCCGATATTTCACAATGCCACACAAAAACAAAGCCCCCTAAAAAAACCAATTCAGACCAACCTTAACCCTAACAGAACTCAACCCATCAAAGCCCAGCAGGTTTTGTTGAAATCCGTTGGGATAGGTACAGTACCCCAAAACTGATGGTCTTTTAAAACACTAGGTTTGGCATACCTCCAGAAACTGAGTCCAACAGTGTGTGTGTACAATTTCCCATGTGGGTGTTGGAATTTGCCAGAATGAGTATGGTTCCTAGTAAATTATGCTAAGGAGTTAGGGTTGTAGTCACAAAAGTTTAAAAATGACTGATTTTTCATTTAACGTTGAAATGTTTTGAGGGGGAAAAAACCAAAAAACGAGGGTTTCAGCTGAATATTGATGACTTTATGCTGAGACATCTTTTCGAAATAAAAAATTGTTGCATTCAAAAGATAAAGAAAAAAAAACAACTGATTGACGTGGATTGGCAGATTTTCGTAGCTATTCTTTGTAATTAACTTCTGGATGTTTGTGTAACTTTATTCCTGTTTTTTGTTTAAATTGTTTATTAGACATGGCTGGATCCTACAAAAGACGCCAAGAAACAGATCAGAAGTAAGTGATTTTGTTGCTTTCACCAACTCAAAATGTTAAATTCACAGCGTAATACCGAAGAGCGGACAAATTGAAAATGATGAGTTGCCTCTCTTGTCGGGACTCTCAGATTGCAAAGCTGGAAGTGGCTGCCAACAGCACTCGAGTTCCCTCCAAGCTTTTGCAGATAAAAATGTGTCTCGTTTTCCACATTTGTATTATGTCCCCGTAAAAATAAAGCCCCCAGCCCATACCATCGTCGGTGATATATATTCATTAATTTTTTTGCATGGTAGTCTGACAAGCGCAGATTCCCTGCAGAGTATGCCTCGTGTCATCCGATACGTGCTGTCGTGTCATCCCAGGTAGTTTTCTTCGTGTGCGTATCCACGACAGACACAAAAAATATCGCCGGGGAAAATTCGCGTCTAATGTTGCTGCCAAAGTACTTGTACATGTACCAAACAAAATCCACGGCACTTTGAGCAGACATTTTTGCTGGTGGTTAGATAACTTGTTAGTTCCAGGCACAATGTAATGGAGCCGACCGATACTTTTTTTCTCACGAAGACTTGGATATTTTGCTGAGAGATATACCAGCTTGGCATTTTTAAAAAATATTGCTTGGTAATATATTTATGCTAACTGCAGGACTCACAGCGAAATCTATACCGACACATGTAAAACCTATAAACCTATAAAACCTATATTTCAACTTGGGAGCCTATTTTATTTTTAAGTAACCTACATTGTATTTAACTTGCATATATTTTAACAATTTTAAAGCAAATTTTTAAAATTAATTTGACGGACCCACAGTTTAGCTATCGTAATTCCAAAATAACCACGTTGTCAATATAGGCCTACCTGTCGAAGATGTGTGTTACAAGTGTTTACAAGAATTTGGCAGTTCGCATGAAATTGGTAACTTTAGTGTGGAGAACTTGAGATAAGCAATTTGCTATATTGCTGCTACCTCATACTGAAAAGTTTTACAGTTTTGCATCCTAAAAACGTATAAAGTGCCTACAGATATTTTGGCGCTTGGAAATCCTTTAAAAAATCTAAATTTTGATTTTCAAAACCTATTAAAAAACATATATATTGATGAAGAGGGGTACTTTGAGGCCTGCTACTGTATCACTATTGACGCTTACTGGGCATTTTTGCTAGGATGCAACCTCAATCCTGCTTAATCCTCCAACTGCCTCTATGTTAAAGTTGCATTTATAAGTACTGCTTGAATCCTGCAAAATCCTCCAGCAATCACTGTCGATATGTTGAGGCAGAGCCAGTGACATCCCGGAGCAGTGTGGAGGATTTCAAGTACAATCTAGGCCTAAATTTATGCACGGCTGAGCATAAACAACTGCAAGGTCCGGCCTAAGACCTTGACACAGTGCGTCCTCCAAACTCAGCCCCACATTTTTGCCATGTAGCCTCAATCCTGCAAAATCCTTCATTTTGCAAAGAGGATTTTGGAGGATTTTGGAAAGGTTAGGGCTAAAGAAAAAAAAAGTTGCTTAGAAAATTTACCCGCTTAGTGAAATTGTGCTATGTACCAGTCATAAGCAATGAAAATCCAATGGTAATCTGGCGGGAAACCAGTTTTAGCTCGGCAAATTTTGTTTGCGCTTAGCATTATTTCTGTGCTCCAAGAATCTGGGCCCTGAAACGTGCTAACTACAGAAAATATTCGCTTAACAAAAAAACTTGTTACCGGCTAAAAATGCCATACGATTCACATTGCACGTGACCGGTTCCCAGCCGATTCTTGCTTAGCGCAAAATTCTACTTAGCACTAGTTTCCGTTGAGAAGCTCCATGGAAATTGAGGCCCAGGTCTGGAACCATAATTCACGCTGTTTGAAAGTTCACCGGTGTCACGCTCTCTGTATTGATATAGCACTGTCTGCATACCAGGGATGCTGGCGTCAAATTGCTTGTTAGGGAGTCTGGTCCCCTGGCCGACGACAGATGGAAAGTGTGCAACTTAAATCGGGGCTATTTTTATCCATGAGAAATATATCACACTTATGTTAATGTAGACGTCTTAGGAATTGTACATGCTGACTGCACCTGTACATACAAAGTAATGACTCATATTACGTTACATGTATGCCAGCTAACCATACTCATATTATGGGAACCGAACCCTTGTACGTACAATGTATGTTCTTTGTTGTTAAGTCACCCTGCCTACGTGGTGAATCCAAAAAGATCCAACTACTAGCACGGCCACAAAAATCGTTTGTTCTAGTTTTTACTTGTTTGTTCCGATGAAAAAAAATCAAACAATATTACTCAAGGCTAGATATCTTTGTACGTGTATTTGGATCAACCTAATTCCTAGGCTTCCAACCTCGAGACGCTAGGAGACCCTGTTGGCATGGTAACTTCCTTCCTGTATTCTGATCCAACTCTGCAATATCAAGTAATGGATTTTCATGCATATCTTGTACTTGGTCAGTTTGGATTATTATGTCCAAATCTTAAAAAAAAAAATCCTCTTCACCAGTCTTACTCTTACACATCATACTTATCGTAGCATACATGTACATGTACATGTACGTTGGATGGGTACATGTAAGATGCAAACTTTGAAATAATCATGTTTTCTGATCTGATTATTATTATTAATCATTTCTGGTAATGAAACCAAGGATTCCTCATAAGTGCCCTAGGCACTGTAGCTTGCAAGCCTGAAGAAACCTGTGGAGAGAAGACAATGAGAATAAGTTACAGTTTTAGAGGTGGGAGGAAAAGCCCAGAAGAATATTCTGGGGAAAACCCACGGAATCAGGTAGGAACTGAAAACCCAATCCACATATTGGCCCAGGCGGGATTCGAACCCGGGTCACAGCGGTGGAAGGCAAGGAAAGTACTGCTACGCCAACCTGACTCCCCCTGTGGATGACATGATGATTTGCTTCAGTCTCTACCATAGAAACCCATAGCCAGAATCAAACACTGCCTCGCAGTGTTGTTAAGGCACCAGACTGTTCCTGCAACTTTTTATAATATCCAAGACTTTTGGACACGCAAATGATCCAGAACCATGGTGAGATATCAGCTAGTGGGAGCGTACCGCTCGACACCACGGGGACGAGGTTGGGGTAGGGAGCATCTCAACATTTCTATGCCCAAAAGACCTTATTCACCGCGAGGAAGCCATTTTTGATTGTGTTCCCTGAATCTATTTTACAAGTTGTAAGCTGTTGAGTGGGATGGTGCCAGACTATTTTATGATTGGAGTGCGTGCCAAGCCTCACTTCCATTACTTTATGTTTTGAAATATGACTTAAAACATTAGGGCATGTTTAATCATAAATTTTGAATTATTCATCAGAGCAGACTGGTAGGCCCTTTTACTTTGTAATGAACTTTTATTTCATTGCTTTCATTTCTACTCGCAAGTTACAGAAATGAAGAGTTTACCTCGCTTTCAATTTAAAATGGCCGACTCGTTGAATAAAGTCTATACTGAAGTCCTACCCTCTATTTGTCATGGGGGGAAAAACAGCTCTACATTAAATTCGCCTGGGCTAGTGGCTAGTCATGTACATGTATGTGTTTCTACTGTTAATGCCTACAAAGCAACTATTTCATGGCCAATAATGGCCAGCGTTTTGCATTACCATGTGAACTGATTTATAGACAGTTAAGTCTATGTTTCTCGTGGTATTTTTAAGTCCCCTTGACAAACATGTTGCACCTGGCCCGAGTGGCTGTTGTGACTCATTGAACTTAATTTGTCCTGACAGAATGTGGGTCAGAAGACGTGTGGATGGTGGGCGCGGACGGAGGGAGAATGGTCTGAATGGGAAATACTTCATGTGAAGAAAATTGTATTCACCAAAAAAATTCTGATTGTGCACCATTCTATTCAGTTTTGCTCAATTCAAACGTGGTTCAATGCTGATAATTGTCTGGATTTTAATCTGTGGACTCTATGAAGATCGGCTTCTCTACCGTTACCCTATCCTGACAGCCCCTACCCTATTTTTTTTTATGGGAAAATGAGGGGGGAAAAACACCTTAAACCATCAATTTCTACCTTTGACCCTTGACTACTCGCAGACGCCTCCATATGACCGTAAACCAAAAATATTTGGCACAACAAAAAATTTCCCTGCCTACATACCATATTTTCAAATGCCATGTAATAGGAAGCAGAATCATTTTTTTTGTTGGCCTTAAATTGAAAATTTGCAAATTGGGTTGTTTTAGGGGTATCTTTTCAGACAAATGAGTTACATAAATTTGTATCATAGATAGAACCTGTGTTGCTCTGGCACTCCGACATATATTTAACCTGGATTTTGTTTTCACCAAAATCTGGAAATAGAATTTTAAGAGGAATATCGAAGTACCGGGTACCTACCGGTAGGTTCATCCATGTTATTATGGAAAGCCAGTAACTTTGAATGGAGCCTTTATATACAATGTGCATGTACTGTACATAGGCGTCTGTCCTCTGAAAAATATTACATTGAGCACTCAATCAATACGTGTGTTAGTAATTACTTACGCCTTTTTGGTCATCAGTCACGGATGGTTGGATATTCCGGGGCTGGCGCTGGCGGACAGCTTTGTGTTTGAAAAATGTGTGTTAACTGACAGATGTGGGGCGTATGGGACTCAGGGTAGGGTTTATAGCTGTGGTGGTGTCTGGAATACAGGCTAGGTCTGGCACCCCGCCCTTGTCGCCATGCGTTGTATTGTCATTTGAGGTCCAGAAACCAGGTTTTTTGCAGGGTTGTTGAAAAAAAATAATAACCAGATGTTAGTTTGTGAAAATATTGTGTTGTTTCATGTGATATTAAATGTATTTTTCACATAGCAGTATCCAGGCATGCAGCTTTTCCTTAGATCAGCTGATTTCCTAGTTTTCACTTCACACTTATGCAATATTTTTTTTTTTAACCACAATATGAGTCTTTTAAAGCTTGGAATTTCCTCCTTTTTCGTTAATTTCAATTTGCATGCCTGAGTATCACTGTTAAAAAAAACAACCCATGAACAATGTATAGAATCTGTTATGTTATTTATCCTTTTGTTTTTGAGGATGGATATTT